CAGTGGCATTTGGAAGAGGATTATCCTTACCATCTCTCTGTTGTGTGGTAAGCTACTCAGGTATAGGGCTAGCCTGAGCTTGGGGAGGAGACCACTTGGGAACTGCATGTAGCTACTGTGAGTTCCAGAGCAGGAGAAAAGGTAGGATATGGATATAATAAACCCTGTCTACACTCATAATTTGCTGTGATGTGTGAACCTAGCCAGATTGTGTATAGAGGATATAGGCTCCAAACATAATAACCTTCCTAATAAGAGAATTACTACAGCTTTTGTGAAAGGGCTCCCAGCAAGGTAGTATGTTTTCCTCCAGGGTAATAACTTTTGCGAATTTACAATGTCAAGAGTGGTCACAGAGTGGTTCTGAATTTTTACTTTGAGAAAATTTTATCTGGTGTCAGAACTAGTAATCAATAAGAATCCATTTTACCACAAAACTACCATTTTAGTGTCATTTAAAAGAATATAATGTCTGCAGTAAATTCAGATACATTGCTTGGATGGGTATTGTGAAATGTCTCCCTAGATTCTGATTCAGTCTTGAAGTTCTTGGGTTGTTGGTCCTAACAGATTTTCTCAAGTGTGTTTCAAACTTTATGGAAAATTGTTTTGGGGGGAGGGCTGCTGTTGCATTTTAAAAGTGCATTTGAGTACTATAGTTATATTAAATAATAACTGAAATATTTATCTAGACAAGGGCACTCAATGTGGTGGTGTCCTGGTCAATTTCTCAAAATGGCAAATGTTTGCACATTCCAAAAAGGTTGCGTGCCCCTGCCCTAGAACTAATGCTATACTAAATGCTTGATGAACTTTACACACATTATTACATCAGTTCTTAAAGTCCTGTATGGTAGGCCAGTGTATTGCAATGATAATGGTTGTAAGCATAAGATATCTTTAAACATAGATATATACTAATATATGCATGATACTTTACAGAATAACATCAAAAAGATAGATCCTACCCCAAAAAGATCACAATGTAAGATTTGACTTAGTAGTGGGAATGAAGGGAGGGGAGAACAGTAGAGGGAGGATAAATAAAGGAAGGATAGAGTGTACCTTGTTTTGCTGCAGGTAAGAACTATAGAATTATGCCAAAAATGTTGACAAATTGGGTTTTGAAAAGGGGTTTGAAGGAAGCCCTTTCAAATACTGCCTGGATGTATCTATTATGCAGAGAGAGGAGTGCCTTGGGCTTATGCAGTCATCCATACATACTATATAACCTTTAAAAAGAAGTAGGCCCTGTGGGCACAATCCTTGTTCATATTACCTGCAAAGTGGGCACAATCCTTGTTCATAATACCTGCAAACTTTTAGAGGGATCTTTAAATTAATTTTCATTGTAAAATTTTATTGTAAAATGTCGACAAAACTCTAAAAAGAAGGAAAGAAAACAATTGTAAAATAGCTTGCACAGCTATAACCTATAAAGATCCCACAATCTATTTATATTTGCCTTTCTGTTGACTCATTGTACTTTGTAATTATCTTCTGTTGGAATGTCTAGTTACTCCAAACTGTAATTACAGGTTCATAATACAGAAAGCACCATACTATCCTAGGTTTCATGAGTCTTTAATCTTACTTAAATATGTTCTAGTTAGTGAAACAAATCAGTGCCTTCGATGACATGCAATGATATGCCCAGAACTTATGGTTCTGATGGGGTACCTTGTAAAAGACACGTGGGAACTAATTATGGATGGCTCAAGGCTTTCCTAATTCCACCCAGGCTTATTTAGTTCTTCCTATATTGGGCCAGGATACTAACAGTCTTCCAGGTAATTTACACAATGCATGTTCCTCTGTCTTATGCAGACTGAAAGTACTGAGGACCAATATGGTGGGAGCCAGTGTGGTGTAGTGGTTAAGAGCAAGGGACTGGGACTCAGACGATCTGGGTTCTAGTCCCTGCTCAGCCATGGAGCAACTGGGTGACTTTGGGCCAGTCACAGATTCTCAGCCCAACCTACTTCACAGGGTTGTTGTTGTGGGGATAAGATGGAGGAGGAGATATAAGCTGCCTTGAGCTTTTTGTAGGAAAAAGACAGGATATAAATTGAAAAATAAATAAACAAAATATCCGTTGGCATCATCCATTTGTCGTATTACTTGAAATTTTGTCAGCATATGCAGGCTGCCAGAAGTGCTTGCTTGTGCTATGCTAGATATGGGTGCCTAACATTTAAAAGCTGCTTATCCTGTTTGAATCTCTAGTGCATATGTGGGATTGGCATGCCATTGCTTTCATTAGGCAGGCACCATTAATGAGCAATTTCTCTGCCCAGTGGAGATGCTTTCATGCATTAATTTCTTAAACATTATGATTCCTCATTTTCCATAGGTTCCTCAGTTTAAATAAAGGCTTTTCCATATAGGCTTCTGAAAAGAGCTTAGTCTAGATAAGCCGGTGTCCAGCTTTATTATATGTCCAGTATGATTGTGAATTTAGTGTATGTTTCCCACAAAGCATGTATTAGATTAATTTGATGACATTTAGTGTTTCTGACAAGTAATTAGCTTTCTAATCTGTTAACCATTCTTCATGATCTGTGTGATACACGTCTGTGGTCTTTCCATCTCTGGAGTAGTGTCTGCCAGTATTTAAATCTCTGGGTTTCAGAATAGGTTACATGACCTCTTCTTGTATCATTGGAGTTGGATAATGTGTGATGTTTTCTGTGCATTAAATAGGATGGCCTTATAATGTCAAGTAACTTAAAATGATAAGTAATTTTACTTATCAATGGGCTAATTCACATGGCACAGCAACCAGTTTTTAAAATACTACAGTTCTGGGTTGTTTACAGAACAACTTTCAGAGTGCCTAACAGAAAATTAGACGCGCTTTTTTCCTCCCATTCTCCCTCAGTCATCCAGGTGGCATCCCAGTGCCCCTTATGGCACAACCCATCTTACCTCCCCAATCACTGAACCAATTGTCACTGTACCAGTTGTGCTGCCAGTCCAGTCATGATTCCCCCTTTTTGCATATTTTCCTAACTTCAAAAAGCAGAATTGGTCTTATACTTTTATGTTTTTCATCACCTGAAAGGCATGCATTTTTTTTCTTATGGTAGAGGGGAGTTGTGCAAATACACTCTTTTGCCTTTTACATGCAATCTTGCTTGGTCTGTTGTCTTGTTAGTTGCAGCTGTCAAATGGTAACAGAGTAAGGAGGAGTAGCAGTCAAGTGCCCAGCTGTCAATTAAAATGCACTGGCATATGGGAAAAAAACACCCCCATAAAGGTGGGTGCTCCAAAAGGAGGTGGGCACTAGCTCTCCCTCCTAGCAAGGTAATTCTGTGTGTTTTAAATGCTGAACTGACACTTCCCAGTGCTCTCTATCTTTGGAAATCATCCTGAATCTCCAATGAGTCCAAGCTAAAGGCTATCAGCATGGCTTTTCACTGCCCCCCCCCAAAAAGCCACCCCATGAAAAGCCACCAGAATCAGATGATATCCTGTTGTAGTTATTTATTCATCATGCATTATCTTGGTGTGCAAACTCAGTCAATAAGGCTAAGGTAGAGATGCTATGCAGAACATAGCATAATTGGAGAGATGGTAATATTGCTAAGAAGTATCAAAGAGTAATGCATTAAATGTGGGACTCAGTTTACAGAATGTAGTAGGAAGGAAAATGCAATGGTAGTTACTATTCAGAGCTTTACATGCAAGATAAAAGGAGTGAATAGTAATTTAGGATTATTTAAGCGATGAGGATTTATGCTCAGTATCGGTCACTATGGCTGGCATACTTTATGGATTTCTTTTTTTTCTTTTGAGCAGTGAACTCTCTTGCAGAATCACATGTTAGAGGTGGTTTGCCATGTGACATGGTGGGGATGCAGTTTATGAAACTTTATGTACCACTTCTGGGAACATTAAATAGATGTATCATCTTTGAGAACTGGTTTACAACTTAAGATGTTTCTAGGAAAACTGGACCCCAGCAATTCGTGTAATAACTGCAGAATACCCAAAGAAAATAGAGAACATATAATGCTATCAAGATAAAGATTTAAAAGATAAAATTTCTAAACTGTAAAATAGAAGAGAATGGAAATCTTTTGTGGTTGAGAATGGAATAAAAAGTGGGTATTTACAGAAGGATCTAGGTTAAATATTAGGAAAGTAAAGTATATTAAATGAATTACTATTATAACAGAATTTAATATTTTGGTGCAGAATGGAAACCTCACCTGTTTTATTAATATATCATAAGCTAACTTGACAACTAGTCTTTTAGTGAAAGGCAGTTTAGAGTACAGTCCAGTCTGGATGCAATCCAACATCCAGTTTCATCTAAGTGTTGCATCTTAGAGTAGGGGGAAGGGGGCTGTGATACCACCAGGATACCTTACGCCAGTCTCCTCTCCACCCTGTTCCCAGAGGCCTGTCTCTGAGGTTGCTCAACCTTGGAGATGCAGCTACTGTGAATTATCTGGCCTTGTAGTGGGTTCTTTGAAAAAAATTATAGCTATCTAGATGTTGTTAAACAGCCATAGGATCACACTGCCCCTTTGTTATTCTTCTAAATGTCTCTTGATTACATATTTGATATATAATCTAATTATAGTTTGCGTTTCAACAAGATGTATAACTTTAAGGCTTTTAAAAAATATATGTGTATAAAAATAAAAAATGTATGTAGAGGTAATTTGGGTTGAAGGGTAGTGATGTACCTGGGAATGTATTTCCCTTGAGTATCTAGTTGATATTGTTTTGAAAGCATTATGCTAATCAAATGGTATATAAACGCTTTAAATAAATAAATAATAAATATTTCATTTGATGAATTGCTGGAAAGACAAACTTTTGTAAAGTTGGCAGATCACTACTGAAGCTTCATAACTCAGTCACAACTTTACGTCACAAATTGTCTATAAAGGTAAAGGACAATGGTAAAAAATACATTTTATGCCTTGCTTAAATGTTGTATCTGTTTCTGTATATTTTCTAACCTGAAGTTTCTCATCTTATCTCAGTGTATAAATCCCCAGAGTATGAGTCCCTTGGGTTTGACCTGACAGTTGAACGGTTAGTTTCAATTGGATACCCTCAAGAGCTGCTTAGTTTTGTCTATGACCCTACATTCCCTACCAGGTAAATGACTGTAACGTATCAAAAAATGTCTGTGCTTGCTACAGACTGCGGGGGGGGGGGGGGCGTTGGTTTGTAGCATTTTAAGCTTGTTGGTGGTTTGTAAAGCACACTAAATTGTATGGAGCTCTTGCACATTTAGCTTTATCTATCTGCAGATACTGCCATTTAAAAAAAACAACTGATAAGTATACTGGGGGAGTGAACAATAGAAAAAACTAAATCAACATGCAGGTGATGCTTTTGGCCAGTTTTTCAGTTAGATAATGATAAAATTTAATCGTTTGCAGGGCTACTCAAAAGAATCATGTAAACTATAGACCTCCTTAGGTGCTTCCTTGCATGAACAAAGATTTCCAAAACATAAGTCTCTCAACCCGTGCAGGAGCCCTTCATGTTTTGTCAGAGGTTTCTTTTCCAGTCTTTCTGAGTTTTGGGAATAGTTCACTGGCCAGCCTAAGGAATCTTTTTTAGGAATGAGCCCCTGGAAACCCTAGTGCATGCGTGGAAGATTCCATTCCCCTCATGGATTTTGAGCAATGTTTGCAATCAAAGCATGTCTGAAAAATGAACTGGTGCATTTAGTACGAGCTTAAAAAGAATGCAAAATGATTAACAGCACATTTTTTATGTTTCTATTTTGGTACCTTTATTAAGCCTAATCCATTTATTTAATTTGAGATACCATTCTTGGAGACTTTGGCAAAATTTGTAAACAGTTACTGTATTTTTCCAAATGCTTCCTTTCCCACATAACCATGAGATAGTCAATCACTGTGAATTTGGTAACACTGCAAATATAATCAGGTGGATAAAACCTTAGTCAGTGAGCAGTGATGAAAAACAATAGCAGGACCACTTAGGTCATTATATTGTTACTTGCCCAAATTTGTTTTCCCCAATGGTGTGTACTTACATTTTACTAAGCCACTGCAAACATTTATGAGATTTAGCAGTGATATAGTAGAATATGGTTAAGGAATACACACACACGTGTGTGTAGGTGTGTGTGGGTGTGTTCATTGTGAAATTCTTATACCACCACTGCCTGGATAACCTGGATGCAGGTGGCTCACCTGCACAAACTCAAAGCCCTATAGTTTTTAATCTGATAAGCTTTTAAGGGAGTTTCCAAACTGGCTTGGCTTGGATTTTTCCTTGCTTATAAGGGAATTACAGATTCAATAATGAAAAAAAAATGGTATTTGGAGTTAATAGTTTGGCTAACCCCCAGTAATCAGGGCCAAACACCACAGTACCACAGACATAGGATGAATGCCAAAGAACAGTTTCCTAGTACCATTTTCTTCCCTCTCTCTCTTTAATTTTTAGCTTCACTTACCTAAATGTGAAGCTTTTCATACCATGCAACGCTCCATGTACTGCCACCTTCCAAGTAACAGCTTAGGATGTAGAGTGGGGACTGGTAAACCATGGGGTTAATTAATTCACCACGGAACAACATCACATCATGAACCAGTGAAAACAAAGCATTAAAGGGGCATGTGACACAGAAAGGTTTTTTTCCAAGGAGGCAGCCACAGAACAACCTTGACAGACAGAGAAGTGAAAAGAGAAAGGATGATTGAAAGATTTAACTGCACGTGAAAAGGGTGCAGAAATGTCTTGTGGTCCATAATGGAAGGCCACGGATCCCTCTCTGTACCTCACATTTAGAATAGTATCCTTACTTGCCAATGTACCTGGCAAGACCCAAAATTCATGCAACAGGGTTTTGACACTTCTGAAAATAAAATTAGCCAAAAACCTTGTTTCCAGAACAGATAGGTCAGTGGAACTCAGTTGATCTGTCCTAATCTGAAATCAAGTGTTTTGTATGTGTGTCGCCCCCCCCACACCTCATAGTTACACAAATGGTGGGATCTGCGAACACAAATGAACCAGAGAGATTGTGTAGCCCCATTGAACACTGCACCAACTTCCCTGCTTCTCCTTTCCTCACGTATTTTTTGTTAGTTGAGTTCACTCCAGTACCTGAACTTAGTCAAGAAGAAACTTGAGGAAAAATGCTGCAGGAGGTAAACAGTGGACAGGAGGAGAATGTTGTACCCCTCTTCTGTGTTCCTCAATAACAATTTAAATGAAACATCCTTTCTGTAAGTTGAATACAGTCCTCTGTTCTGTCACAGTGTGTCTATTCTGGCTTTACTCTTCATTATAACAAAGTGGCTTCTCATAAGCCATTGGCTAATAACCTTCTGAAGTTTGGTTCAAAGTTTTTAGCATTTATATAGTGTTTTAGTCCATTCAAAGTGTTGCACGCATATTGGATGTATTGCATGTCCCACTAAACTATGGTTAAGTGCAACATGCATGAGTTTTGGTGAGCCTTAGGCTTCCATGCTCACTGTTCCTCTGCCCTTTTTTGTGGCTGGGAGTAGGACCGATGACAAATTTTGGTTAACAGTAATGCTGCTTAGTAAAGAAGCCAGAGTCAAACCATGGTTTATGAAGTTGGTTTGTAAAAACTAATCATAGAAAAACTATAGTGTACTAAACTGTACGCTGTATATGAAACTGTAGTGTACTAAAAGTGGAAACAAAGATTTCCAAAGTTGCTGCCTTGGCTGCAGAAGCATCTCTGTTAAGATAAGTGAACTAATTATTAGATCAATTGTACACTTAAACCAGGCAATGCAGACTATTTTTTCCTCTGCAGCTTAACAAAAGTTCAATGGGACTCTGTCAGCAAAGTGTCTTCCTTAGGGTCAGATTCTAGTTTGGACAGAACGTGGTAGAACTGTTTCAGGTATGCCATTCCAACAGACTATCTTTCAAAGTCTTGCTGTTCATCAGTGCTCAGTATACAATGCTGATATCATTTTATGCTTTTCATTCATTTTTATTAATAGAGGCCTGGTATTTGATTCCCTCTATGGAAATCTGCTGAAAGTTGATGCCTACGGAAACATCCTAGTGTGTGCACATGGCTTTAACTTCATGAGGGGGTAAGTACTGTGAATATAGTCAGTCACTTAAGATCAGTTGCAATCCCTATGAGCAACTGGAAGGGCATTCTATTGCATTTGATGGAGCTTCTGAATAAACATGAATAACAGCAGGATATTGGTCGCCTGTAGGAATCCCTACAGTACAAATATTTCCAAATCCTCATGCTCATCTTTTCTTAATGCCTTGGTTGTAAACTGGAATAATAAATACTTCGTGTAGTCTATTAAATTTGAATGACTTTGGAAACCTGATTAAAGCAACTACCTTAAGGTTGAACAAATACAGATAGGTCTGGTTCTGTTTTAGCTGTCTTAGTTAAAATAACCCTTCCTTTATAAATTAATATGGAAATGGTACCTGGCAACCGGTAAAATTATTCTATATGGATAATAAATACTCTAATTTATGTTGGAGATGTGGGCAAAAAAAATCGGTACCTATTTCCATATGTAGTGGGATTGTGAAAATATTAAGAAATTTTGGATAATGGTTTTTATGGAAATTAATAAGATACAGTGGTGCCTCATACTTTGAACTTAATTCATTTCAAGAAACCGTTGGAACGCTGATTCATTTGAAGACCAAAGCAGTTCTTCCCATTAGAAATAATAGAAAGTGAATTAATCTGTTCCCAAACCCTAAACAATACCCATTTCAGTAAACTTGAGCATCAAATAAACTTGAGCATCAAAAACTTGCACATCATTTGTTTTCTGAAACAAATTAAGTTCAAGGTTATATACAAAGTGTGATTAAAAATACAGTGAATTTTTAAATTTAAAAAATTATTAAGATAAAAGTCACATTGCCATTAATCCCCCTCAAAATACTGCTGCTTACTTTGAATACACTTACCCCAGCACTGTCATAGCTGCCTCAATGTTAAGTCAAGAGGAATTGATTCAAGATGAAACGATTCAGGACATCAAGCCTTTTTTCTGACTTAGGCGTACAACCAATGACGTTTTCGCTGCTACCACATTTTTTTAACTTGCTTGCAGTTGAAACTTAGAAGCATTGTTTGAACTGAGGAGCGATTTTATCTCAACTCTAATGTTCGAACTCTGGATCATTCGAAGTTAGAGTTGTTTGAACTACAAGGTAACACTGTATTGAACTTAAAAATTGAAGCAGATCCCAAAATACGGTTAATATTTTATGAAAGGAAATGGAGCATTAAATAATAACACATTTGGTAACAGCAGCAAAACCGATAACAGCAAAGAAGTGGAAGAAGAAATGGGATCTCAAGTTAATTAAATGGTATAAAAAAATTTGGAAAATACCTGTTAATGATAAGTTGACGTGTGGGATTAAGCTGGAAAAAAGGGATGATAAATAAGAATGATCCTAATGATATATGGGTGTTTTTTTATTGAACATGTATTAATAAAAGGGTAGGGTATTAAACATTTGGTCAATTCAGTGCAATTTTGGATGGAAGAGGGCCCTCCTGAAAGAATGAAAAGTTAGAAGTAGAAGTAAAGAAGAAAGAAATGAAGGAATAAATATTATATAGCCATAGTCCCAGTGAAGGGGCAAACTAGTTGTTTTTATAGGGGTTTTTTGTATTTTGTGTAGTTTTTCTCCTTATTTTTATGATGTAGTTTTATATTTGTATTGTTAAATATTTAAAATAAAAAATTATAAAAAACACTTCCTGTCCCACCACCCACCACAGACCCTGTTTTGAGGAAGAAATAATGGTTTGTTAACTACAGTTTCCTGTTGGGAAAGTAAACATGAACTGAAAAGAGTAGATTTCCATCTATAGGTAAAATTTTTATGAAGTATCACATAAAGTTTTAGTCAAAAGGGAACTGGAACCATATTTATTTAGGTGTTGATACTGATTTGGATAGTACTATTGTATAAGATGAAATTTGGCCTAATTACAGCTCTTACTGCTTCTTTATTGGAATTAACACAGATATTTAGATAAATTGTTATGATTTGACATAATTAATTGACATATCCCTTTGTCTCTTATATTTTTAGGCCAGAGATACGAGAGCAGTACCCCAATAAATTCATTCAGAGGGATGACACTGACAGGTTTTATATTTTAAACACACTGTTCAACTTACCAGGTAAGATCCTAAAATGAGGGCAATGGGGAGGTGTGCAATGAGGGCTAGCAGATATATCAGTGGTTCTCAGCATGTGGTCTGCGAACCCCGGGGGGGGGGGTGGATGTCATCATAGGGGTACCACAAAGGCTTGAAGAAATGTTAGGTTTTTTGCAGTTAAATCTGAATGAACAAATGAAAACAAGAGGGGATGGGAAATAGAACAAAATCTTAATTTTCCATGCTTGTTTTGTAAAACTTGGCTTTTTTAACCTATTGCTTCAATTAAAAACTATCAAAGGTATAATTTGGCTATGAGAGTAGCTGTCTGATGGAAAATAGCTGCACTTGGTATTTCTGCACACCCTGAGAACATGCAAGTGAATTAACTTTGAGTGGCAGAAAGAAAGCACATGACATTTCTTGCTATTGCACAGACAGTCAGAGACAGCAGGACAGAGAAAGCTGAGTCAGTCATTGTCAGTGTGAATGAGCACTTCGACTGATTTCATAATTGTCTTCAATTTGCTAACCATTTGGTTATTGTTTGTTAAGGTGGTATTCTGATATTGCTGCAGTGGATTTCATGACAGCACATTTCTATTTAGCCTGAGAATGGATTGTTGGCTGAATTTAAAACATAAAGAAACTGATGATGTTGATGAGGGTACATCCTGTTCAAAGCAGGATACTATTATTTGAAATTTGTATGGAATCATTGCAATAAAGATAATATAATAGGAGTGTGTGCATTAACAGATTAACTTATTTCCCCTTCTCTCCAAATTTGAAGGCCCTCCATGAGAAAATTGAAATAAATATTTGATGCAATTTATTGCTTTAAATCCTGAGTTAAGTCTTGGTGGTTCACAGCCACAAAAAGCATTTAAAGGAGATCCGTGGTGAAGGAAAGGTTGAGAACCACTGAGATATATTGCTGTTCATTTCAAAATGGTAAAATTAGAAATGTCCTTTTGGCTTAAATTCATTATATACACTTTTTTTCATATTCTTCATTTTTAGTATATTGTTTTGCCTTGGTTTTAGTACCTGCTTATGCTTTCTTGCAGAGACCTACTTGTTGGCTTGTCTAGTTGATTTTTTTACTACCTGTGATAGGTATTCGAGGTGAGTATATATCTTGATTATATGAAATCTGAGAATCCATTCTTTGGCCATTTTTTCTCAATGCAGCTATGTAGAAATCAGTGCAGATCTTCACTGTGAGTAGTTTTGCCACAGTTTGATTAAGCCCTGCAGGGTTCACAGGATCCATGGAGTGATGATTAGGTGAAAAAAATCACTAACTTAATATGAACATTTAGCAGTTAGAAACACAAGATACCTATTAGTGAACTAAAGTGAAGCATGTGAGCAAGATTAGGTCTACTTGTTGGATTGCCAATATTAGTTCTATTTTCTTGGATCTTATGCGGTCTCCTTATTGGCTTCTTCTCTCTTATATGTAACACTACTATTCTTTGTTTTTTTCTTTTAAAGTTGTGAAACAGGATTTAAAGATGGGGACCTTTTCATGTCCTTCAGGAGTATGTTCCAAGATGTAAGAGATGCTGTGGATTGGGTCCACTATAAGGTGATTGATACTTTGTAATTTTGGATTGCTGTTTAATTCAAAAGCTCTTTCTGAGTTTTAAATTAATTATGCTGTCATTTGAGAACAGTTGAATTTGTTTTGCCACTCTGTGGCTAAATGTTAAAACAAGTGATCCATATGATTGAAAAGAAGGACTTAATACGTGTCTCCTCCTCTTCCCCCTTAACTTCTGCCCCCCAGTTTCTTGCTTTTGCTCATAGAAACATAGGAAAAGTGCCTTATGCTCAGTCAGACCATTGGTCAATCTAGCCCAGTTTGCAACAACTTATAAAATGCAGATAACAATTAAAAACAGCATAACATTTCACTGCAATTTAAAAACCAAATATAAACAACTTAAACAATGAAGATGGATTAAAACAGCAATATTTGCTAAGCAGTTGATATAAGCCCCCTCCCCTTATGTACTGTTTAGAGGCATTAAATGCCTTGGTACAGAGAGCAATCTTAACCATGACACCAAAAGGATAGTAGAGTTGATGGCAGGCAGACCTCAGTGCAAAGCTTATTACATATTTGAAGAGTCACTCTTGAAAAGGTATCCCTCTTTGTTGCCACTGATCAAGCCTCTCTCAGAGGTTAAATTTGGAAGAAAGTCCAAGATGCTCAGTTTAGTGTCCAAGTTGATTGCAATTGGTGTCAAGTATTTTAGTCCCAAGCTGTGCAGAACTTTACAGGTTAAAACTGGCATCTTGAGTGGCACACAAAAGCATAAAAGTAGGAAATGTAAGTGTGCTGGAATTGGTGTTGTATTTTGGACTGTCTGTGCCCAGTTCTTAGTCTAGTTGCTGTGTTTGGCACGGGTTGCAGCTTTTAAACAGTATTTAAGGGCAACCCCACGTAGATCACATTGCAATAATCTGTTTTGGAGATTACTTGATGGTAAATTACTGATACCAAACTATCTCTGTCTAGAAAGGGGTATAACTGGGCTGCCAGCAAGGCACTCTGTGCCACTCAGACATTCTGAGCTTCAAGTGGCACTGTGGTGTAGCTGTTAAGAATGTGGGACTGGGACTCATATCTGGATTCTAGTCCCAACTCAGCCATGGGGCTCACTGGGTGATTTTGGGCTAGTCACAGACCCCAACCTACCTCACGGGGTTGTTGTGAAGATAAGACTGAGAAAGAGAATTTGTTAGCTAACTTGAACTCCTTGAAAGGAAAAAAGGCAGGATATAAATAAAGTCTCAATTAGCAACCCTAAGCTACAAGGGAAGAGCTGGTCATATACCCTTCATTTGGGCAAAGAAACCAATGTCTAGCAGTTTTCTTCAAGGTTTTAGGCAGGAGTTTTTCCTGCCCTATTTGCAGGTCTTGGGGACCAAATCTGGACTCGTCTGCAAGCAATGTATCTGCTTTTTCTCTGAGCTATGGCCCAAGTACTCCTCAGGGTTAGCTCTGCTCCTTAACTTCAGCACTTGAGCTGTGTCATGTGTGTTGAGTTTTTTCAGTGTGATTCATTTCACCTATATTTACCCCCAGAAAATATTAAATTTCACCACTTGAATGGCATGTTGTCCCATATTTGTTTATCCTATCAAGAATGTGCCCCAGGCCCTTGAGCCAATTTCTTGGCATATGAAACTCTGCAAAAGACTTTCTGTCTCTAGTGTCACTGATTCAGATGTTATTTTACTACTTTCTTCAACATGATGACAGTATGGAAGGTGACACTAATATGAAACCTGAATAAGATGTGTGCTAGGCATCATTGCTTCTACAATTTCATAAGCCTTCCCCTGTTTTTTCAGGGATCTCTCAAGGAGAAGACAGTTGAGAATCTGGAAAAGTATGTGGTGAAAGATGTAAGTATCCATAAATGATTTATTTTGTGCAACCTTATGAAGAACTTCTCAGCCAGCTAAAATAATAAATACAAGATAGACTGGTCAGGACCACTCATTCAGAAAAGTACAACAAAGTTATGTGCAGTTAGTTGCTGGTGTTTAGTATTTTTCCCACAAATCTTGCCTTGTGGGGAATGCACAATGCGTTGATGGGGAATGCCTCAGTATTTTTTCTTTATCCTGCTTCTTGTTAGTGGAACTTTAAGCACTCTACCCTCAAAAGTTGTAGGTTCCCCCCCTCAAATATAAGAAATGATAGTGAGACAAAGAATATCATAGTAGATGGTAGACAAAGTGTGTTGGTATCCCGAGGTGGGCAAAGTGCCGATTGTGCCTTACCTCTTTCCTTGAAGGCATTCCTTTGATGTGCTGTAAGTGAATAGCAGTGCCCTTTTTGTGCAGCATAATTAAAATATCCAATTCAAAGTAAAAAATTAAGTGTCAGTGTTATTCTAAAATTAATCAGGAAATATTCCTTGCTGATTGAAGCTGCCCATTTAAAAATTAACAGGTTTCCAGCCACATATTATGATGTCACTTGACATTTTAGTTTGACAATGTTACAAGAGATGTTTTTGAACAGGAATTTAGGACAAAGTATAATGTGATTTATAAAACTTTTATAAAAGTTTGCCAGGAGCCATTCTAAATGTTATCCATCACTTAAATTGTCCAAGTCATAACAGAGTATAAGTGTGTATGATGCAGAGATGGATGCTGTTATCTGAATTGAACTATGCTATATGCCCAGAAACCGGACACGAGTTTCAGTGGTTCATACCTGAGGCAGGTAGGGCTTCAAAAGGCATTTTAGTCAACGTAAACACACACACACACACACACACACACACACACATTTTGCAGTATTCAAAGCAGCAGTGTGCACATTGCCATCACAGCTGGGACAGTTGAAGGGGATCTAAAAGTGGTTGCTTAAGAATCAGACTTTATGTAAACATTTGCCATTTTAGGGAAAGCTGCCTTTGCTGTTGAGCCGAATGAATGAGGTGGGAAAGGTGTTTCTTGCTACGAACAGTGATTATAAATACACTGATGTAAGTACTCCTAGCATATGTGAATCTGCTTTCTTCATCATATTTATTATTGATAATGTCCTGTGCATTTTGATCTTTATCATAGATGAAGTTTTGCACTTAACCTCAGGGCTTTGATATAGTTCACTGTTATGGAAGTACGAGCTTCAGGCTCCTACATTCTTCTCCAAGGATGATTGCTAATTTAATAGATGCCTTGTAGTACTGAAGAAGAGGGGGGAAATATATGCATATATGTGAGGAATAAACATTTTTGAAAGACCGTGATACAATTGTCACAAAATGTACAATGCCCTTCAAATAAAATGCATTTGAACAATTGAAAGTAAGCCTCAAAGGCTTTATTTTCCTCCTGAATAATACTTTATGTGGACTGGTATACTTCTTCCCCACTTACCTCTTTGCAGAAAGCATATTAGGAGACCCCATATGAATACAGAATTTTCCCTTATCCAGCGAAATGGGAAGTTACTCTTTCATTCTATAAGCACTTGCTTGTCAGTGAGCTCTAACAAATGTACTAGAACTTGCTATTTACATACCAAGTACATAGAATTAGTCTACATGATTGCAGTGTTGAGAAGAAATGTGGTATTTCTCAATTCTCTTATTTTCTTTCCTCCACACTGATACAGGAGTAAGAAAACTAATTGTGTAAAGCCCCTGAAAAAGATTGGAATGGTTGAAATGCACGTAGTGACTAAGTTGTAGTTTGTGATCTCTGCCTGTCTTGAGGTCCCAGCTTAGCCCTCTGCAATTCCCCAGAGGCCATGTCCACATCCCCTGGCTCTATGATATTCCCCTATGCACTGAAGTTTTTCTGTAGTTTTTGAAAGAGTGGGATGCCTCTCGTAAGACATAGTTACTGGCAGTAAGGGCTTTAAGCTAATTTATGCTGGTGCTTTTGTTTTATTGGCCCTGATCCTTTTTCCTTCAGCCATATCCACCAATGGAATTTGTCTGCCAAGTTCTCCAGAATTCAGTCTTTTAGCTGCAAAGAGTCTGCACCCCTACTTAAGACTTTTATTTTGCATGAGTATTTGTACAATGTTAAGTAAGCTAGTTGTTTCATAGACAGACATCTTTGTTTTTGTTCAAAATGTTTTTAGGGCAGCTTATTTGTTGATTCATAGATTATTTAATATTATGAATGAAATTTTTAAAAGGTCTTTTATTGCTTTGTGCTATACAAGTCAGAGAATGAAAACACTTGTGTGGTCGTGGAAATCTTGTGAATACTGTAGTAATGCAGGGTTTTAGAATTACAGTTTAATAGTCACAACAGCTGTTCTTAATTTTACTCTCATTTAGAAGAAACATCATAGAAATATTGTCTACATTTAACTAATACAAATGAGAACTCCATGAATATAATTTAGATGAGTAATATGGATTTTAAGTTATGCTTCTAATTTGCCTTTCAGAAAATTATGAAGTATCTGTTTGATTTTCCACATGGACCGAAGGTGGGTGATAAGGGTTGTATCAGATGACATAAATTAAACCTTACTAAATAAGTGCAGAATATGATTAAATTCTAGTTCATGGGGATTCATAAAGCATGGGAAGTATTGAATTTTGCATTTGTAAAAGCCAGCCTCAAGAAGCATGCTGTCAAGTGCTTTAGATTTGTTAGTGCATGACGGGTGGAAATAATTTAAGCAAATCTTCATATACCCAATAAAGCAGTTTTTAGAGGTCACTAGACGTAGGAAAAAGGAATTGCTATATTCTTATTAGAGGTATTTCTTGCCTCTGGTGAGTTGTGTACCTGCCTATATCTGAATATCATGAGTAGCAGCTTGAAGGTAAATAGCTTAGAAGGAATTGTCACTCATCCTACATTAGTGGGTATGTGATTAACAGAACTGCCCAAATGTTTTAACATGTAATAAATGTTGGTTTCAAGTAAATGGACTGCTGTACTCTTCACTATTAAGGCTCTATTGTTTCATTTAACTAGGTGTCTGTTAGAAACCCAAAGCAGTGTACTGTGAATACAGAAACTGCTTCCTTATTGTCCTCCTTAGTGGCAGTCCCTGTGAGAGGCCTGTGGATCGTTTGCAAAACATTATAAGGACTGATCAATGCCTGGACAGTTGTCTGCCTTTGAGTGTCAAGTGAAAAATCTTAAATATAGACTTGTTTGTGGGTATCCATGCTTCTTGAAGCAAAAATTTGTCAGCAGCTAACAGTCCTGAAGATTACAGGGATCTTGATAATCTGGTAATTCTGTAATTGATACCTTCATTTCTTGTAATAGCCTTACCAGGCTATATATCAAGCACAGTTATCACTATGGCAGAAGCAGAATTAGCCAGTACCAATATGAAGGATTAGCATTTCTTGATCCAATATCAATCAAGAGCTATGCTTTTGTTTGATAGTTTTTGGGGTTTTTTTGCTTGTTTCCTAGCCTGGCAGTTCTCATCGGCCGTGGCAGTCATACTTCGACCTCATCCTTGTGGATGCACGCAAACCTCTTTTCTTTGGGGAAGGTACAGTCTTGAGGCAAGTGGATACGGTGAGTTCTATATAGAATGCATGGTTAGATCTGCTTGGAGGAAATTATGGTATAGTCTGTTGTAATACCGACAGCCATACATTCATGCATACGTTGGTGCCAGGGGGAGGGATGTAGCCAAAAACATTATCAGCTATAGAAACTTCCAAAAGAGATGCTCCACACACATGCAGAACCCATATGTGTGAATGCGCACATGACCAATTGAAGAACAGCAGTTGTAGGTAACCTGCCTTCGTGAATACCCTTTTACAGCAGAGTGTGGTTTCATCTTGCCTAAAAGAAACAGTTGCAAGATCTATATTTTAGGAAGAGAAAGGAAGACAAACTTCCCTGAAGTCCATGCTATTGGATAATTTCTGACCAGTCCTCAGTATTCCGTTCTTGGGCAAGGTGCCAGTGCATATGGAGGCTTTTCAGTTCAAGATGATATAGAATATCAAGATACATTTATGTCTGGCTTCAGGCCTGGTTATGGGACAGAAACCGCTTTGGTTGCCTTGGCAGACAATCCACATGAAGAATTGGACAGGGGGAGAATGTCCCATTTGGTTTTGTTGGATCTTCTGTCAGCTTTCAATACCATCAACCATAGTATCCTTCTGAGGTGTCCATCTGAGTTGGGACTTGAAAGCACTGTTATATGGTTACTCTGGTCTTCCTTGGATGAGTGATCTCAAAAGGTGTTGCTGTGGGATTTCCATTCAGTGCCATGACTGTTCACCTCTTGTGTGCCTAAGGGTTTAAACTTATTCCACATGCTTTTGAACATGCATGTGAAACTGCTGTGAGGGATTGGAGATGTGTGGTCTGATGCTATCAGTATGGTGATGGCACCCAACTCCAGTTCTCCTTTCCACTGAAAGCTGTTCTCATACTAAGTTGGGGCCTGATGTTGGTAATGCAGTGGATGAAGCCAAACAAACAAGGCAGATGCTTCTTGTTAGTTAAAGGACAAGTTAGAGAGTAGGGATTTGATCTCTGCTGGATGGAATTACACTGAGGCTTGCACTTTGGGTGTACTTAGGGACTAGGCCCTAAACCTGAATGCTCTGGCTTCAGCAGTGGGCAGGCGTGTATTTGCACAGCGGAGGTTAGTGTGCTAACTAAGCCAGTTCCTAGCAATGTCTGTTCAGGCCATGGTCACAACCTACGTCCAGTTTTGAATCTAACCTGCACTACATTGGGCTTCGTTTGAAAACTGTTCAGAAACATCATCTGGTCCTGGTATGCTATGGCCAGACTGTCGACTGGAACTGATTACAAGGTGCATGCAACCCCCTTGTTACTGGAACTTCACTAGCTCTTGGCCTGTTTCCAGGCAGACATCAGAACTCAGTTTTGCTTTGGACAAGTCTGCCTGAAATGCCATGCTGTTCTATATGAGCCTGCCTGGTTCTTAGGATTTTCTGAAGAGACCTTTCTCTAAAGGCTGCTGCCTTCAGAGATGGGTGTGTTAATAGCACAAGAGAGAGCCTTTTTAGTGGCCAATCCCAGGTAGTGGAACTCCCTGCTGTTGTGGGCTAGGTTTATTCCTTTTCTATTCTTTTGTCAGCAGGGAAAAGCCAGTTTATTCAAGTGAGCCTTGTGTCACAAACTGTTTTTCCTGGTTATTGTTGTGGTTTTGTTTGTATTTAATGTATTAGCTTTATTAGTGTTTTATCAAGTTTGAATGTCTTAACAGAGTGCAGGTAAAATGAAATAAAATTTTGGAAACAGACACTACAGAGGCCAACTCAAATCTATGTTTCCACTAGAAGTCATGAAACTAATTGTAGGAAACTAATTTCTGTCAGAGTAATTTACCTGCTTTTGTACGGCACAAATGCCTGTGAATCAAGAGTGTGTGTTGAGGGCAGAGGGCACCAGTTGTGTAGTTTTGCTGTACTGCTAGTATCTTCTTGCTTGATGTTACAGGCAGCCATTGTGTTGTGCTGCCTTTCATCAGCTTAGGATCCAGGGGACAGCAAGCAAAATAAGATGAATCAAGATTTACATTGGGAGGAGTCAGACATCAGCTGTGCTTTTGCATCTGAACCATGTAACAAGTGGTCTTGAACTGGGTGATTTTATCAAAGAATTTTACTAACTTGAGTTGACTCAAAGACTTGCACATTTATTAAAGTGAGTTTCTCTTTCTGTGCAGGTTACTGGCAAGCTAAAGATTGGTACCTACACAGGCCCTTTGCAGCATGGCATTGTCTACTCTGGAGGTAAAGTAGAAATGAGACTGCTGCTGCTTTGTTCAAGAGAAACATTTTAATTTTCTAACCTGCTTCAACCTAGGGCTTGAAGTTGGAAATATTTTCAAAGGGGAGAGTATTCTCTGTCCTGAGAAGGTTCACTTACATTATGGCAGGTATTTTTCCACAGCTTAGGCTACAGGGTACTATTACTGCTCTAGTCCATCTTTGGAATTTAGCATTTGCATGCATTTTCATCTAATACTACCTTGTTTAGTTGTGTTTCCTTGGTATTGGACCTTATGAGGCCTGAGAAAAACAGACATAGGAGATAGTGTGCCAGGTTCTGCTGATAGTGTCAGATCACATTTTGGTGAATTCAGTAAAAGCAGGGAATGAGGACAAGCTCTTTTCTGACTTGAGTTCTTGCACATAGTCTTTCTGCATGTAACTCAAGGAATTTTCCTGTAAACAGAGGTTACTTATGAAACTGAATCCAAAAGTTCCTGCAGGGCAATTACTACAAAAATCTAAAACGTTATATGTCAGGAAGTTAGCAAACTTTGAATTTTTTCAAAACATTTCTTTTATACAGGCTGGAAGTTAAACAGAACAAAGAGAGATGGGGAGAAAAAGCTATGATTGATGAGAAAGCCCATAAACCTTGCAGTTGAAACAAACTTGTGAGAGAGGTCAAGAAGGGTTATGCAGATGTGATTAGATGAGAATGTGTTAGATGCAAAATGGATTTCTGCTTGCTTCAGCTACTAGAACAGACCCATCCAACAATTGCACTTTGATTTTAAAAAATCAAAACTCTTCAGTTACTCTGATCTGTCTTTACTTCTGCTTCATAAGAAACACTTGTAAAGAGATATAATATTTTTGCATCAGCAAAGCTGAAGATTAGTAGTCTACTAAGTGACAAGTTGATAGAAGCCGAACAGGACAGCACTGTCCTGTGGTAGGAATGAATGCCAGCCCATCTACTCCCAGCTTTTAGCTCACAGAAAATTAAAGTCCCATCTTCTGATAATAGAAGACCATCTTCCTCCAGCTTTAAGATCTCTCTCATATATGGGTAAAATTGGTATTTTCCAAAACATAAACAAACTGTAGTTGGTTGTGTGAGGTGTTAAAATAAAGCCAGCAAGATAATACTCTGTCTCTTATATGACATGGGTAAGCAAGAGAGACAAATATAAGCCACTTGAATGAGATGTTTTGTGATCTGATATGAAACCCAAGTACAAAATGCACATGCCATGCATCACACTTAAATTGTATACATACCTATTTTAGCAAGATGTCTTTATCAAAATGTTTTGCAAGGCAAGACCCAGTCCTCTTGGCTATTTATTTATTTAAAACATTTCTATGCCACCCCCATTGCAACAAAGCCTCGGGGCGGCTCACAAACAATACATAAATACATACATAAATAATAATAATAATAATATAACAATTAAAAAAAAGTTTAAACCCCCCCCGGTGCATTCTCAGCTAAAAATTTTAAAATCCTAATGAATTCAATAATTTAACAATTAAAATAAGTTTTAAATAAAAAGGTCTTAGCCTGGCGCCAAAAAACAAATAACAACGGCGCCAGGCGGACCTCTCTGGGGAGCGCATTCCATAGATGGGTTGCCACCGCAGAGAAAGCCCTCCTCCGGGTAGTTACCCTCCTAATATCATTCACAGAGGGTTCCCGGCGAAGGGCATCCGTTGCTGATCTCAAGTGGCGGGAGGGCATATATGGGCGCAAGCATTCCTTTAGATATCCAGGTCCCAAGCCGTTTAGGGCTTTATAGGTCATAACCAACACCTTGAATTGGGCCCGGACTTCAATCAGGAGCCAGTGGAGCTGACGGAGAACTGGGGTTATATGAGAACAACGCCCAGTCCCGTCAGCAACCTGGAGGCTCTATTATGCTCTATTCTGCACCAATTGAAGTATCTGGACCGTCTTCAAGGGTAGCCCCACGTAGAGCACGTTACAGAAATCTAATCGGGAAGTTACCAGCGCATGTGTCACGGTTGCCAGGCAGTCATTCTCTAGGAAGGGACGCAGCTGATGGATCAGCTGAAGCTGAAGGAAGGCGCTCCTCGCCACCGCTGTCACCTGGGCTTCCAGAGACAGCTCCGGGTCGAGGAGCACTCCTAAGCTGCGAACTCTGTCCCTCAGAGGGAGTGCATCCCCATTTAGGACAAGGCCCAAGTCCCCCATCGCGAGGCCCGGGCCACCCACCAACAGGACCTCCGTCTTGCCATGTGTGTATTTTAAAGAGGAAGGATTCAACCATGAGTGTCCCAGAAAATGTTTTGTACAGTGTATGATTTACCAGACATTGCTTGATAAGTTGCTGGCAGGCAAAATATGGACTGGTTAGTGAGAGTATATTAGGCTGGTACTTCTCCATCTACACTGACTGCCAGTCCATGTCTGGACTCCTAATAATATCCTTCTGAGGGAGCTGCTGCCCAGGGACATTAGATGGGTGGCTACTAAAAAGAAGGCCTTTTCTGGCACCCTGGCTGTGCAGTGAATGTCTCCGAAAGGCTCACCTGGCACCTGCCTTGTACTCTTTCTGGTACCAAGTGAAGACCTTAATTTCTGAGGAATTTCCCCAAAATTTTAGCTCCAGTCTGTTCACAATTCTGTATTTTATTTTATTTTTTGTACTGCTGCTAGGTTTTACTCTAGTTCTTACTTTTCTTTTATACTGTGGTTTTATCCATTTAATTTTTATACTTATTTTATACTGTATTTTATGTTTTACATTGTTGTGAACTGCCCAAAGATCTTCAGCTATTGAACATAATACATATGTAATAAATAAAACTAATCTGTAAACCACATGGAGAGTGTGATGTAAATGCAGTTACATGTACTTAGATGCCATACCTGTGTACAAATTTGAATTTGAAGCAGTCTTTCATCAGTGCCATCAGTTTACAGAGAACAGGCACTTGCTGAGAATGCAAATGTCTGTACTGCTAAGATTCTGGTAAGAAAAGCAATTTTCTGACTCATAAGTATTGATTGTACTGCTTTCTTCTGCCTTCCCTCAGGCTCTTCTGATACAATCTGTGATCTCTTGGGGGCCAAGGGCAAAGACATCTTATACATAGGTGACCACATTTTTGGAGACATTTTGAAGTCAAAAAAACGTCAGGGTTGGAGGACCTTTCTAGTGATTCCAGAACTGGCACAGGAGCTTCATGTTTGGACAGACAAAAGCTGTGAGTAGTAAGCTATCTGTTCCTGGAGCACCACTCTAAGGTGCAGTCTAGTGCATGTTTATACAGAAAAAAGTCCTACAACTTTCCCCATTCCCCAGGCATCCATGCAGGTATTTTTCTGTATGGGTTTGTACTCTTAATTGATATGGCTTGTTTTATTTCCCAATGACTACTTGCCTAGTTTTATGTACTTCAGAGAGTTGCAGAAGATGCAAGTCTCCAAATTGCTCTGTGATATGAAATCTCTGTATTCTGTACATTGTCCCTTTTATACAGTAATGTCTGTCTCACAAAATAGGTCATCATGCAGGGCAATCACGGCTGTTTCTGTGCCGAAACCAGGTCTGAACCCCAACTGAAAAGGTTTCAGATAATCAGTCTTGTTGAAGAGTGCCTGGATTTGATTGGAAGCCATCTTGTCTAGAATCTTGCTTAGGAAAGGGATGTTTTCTACCAGCCTACTGTTATTTAGAACCTCCAGGTCAAGGGAGGACTTTTTTAGAAGTCTCACCGCTGCCTCTTTAAGGCAGCATGAGATCAGTCCTTCTCACAAGGAGGCATTAATCTCCTCCCTGGCCCTGCCAGTTGCTTCTTCCTTTTATATGTCAGAAGGGGCAAGGATTGAGTACAGAGGTGGTTGCATGAACCTGTCCAAGAACATTGCCCATATATATTTTACTGAAATATATATGGTGAAGATTGCAATAATGTGTTGTAAGCCAACAGCATTTAATGCTGCTTGCCACACAGAATGAAAGTTTCTCATATTTAGGGTCAGATAAGTTGTTTTACTTTTTCTCTCACTCTCCCCACCCCCAATCCCCTGGTTTAGGCCTTTTTGAAGAACTTCAGAGCCTGGACATCTTCTTGGCTGAGCTATACAAGTAAGTAATTGATTCGTCATTGTTTTGTGTCATTTAGTGCTTGAAGCTCTTATCAACTGGTTGCATCCTTTAATGGGCTCCAAACTACTATAGAACCTGAGACTAGAGAGGGGCAAGAGCATATGTTGCCCCACACGATGACTTTTCCTAAATTATTATTTGTGCCACTGCCCCACATTAATCTTATGCTTTACTGAAAGTAATATTTTGCTTCAACAGGCATTTGGACAGTAGCAGCAATGAGCGTCCTGACATCAGTTCTATTCAGAGGCGTATTAAGGTAATGGTCGGCATAGTGCCTCTTTGCACCAAAGTGCCTTTTGCATAGATTGTCACTCCCTTATCAGGGTCTCTTTTCCATTGTCCCAGTAAAACATTAGTGAAAGACTCCACAGTAGAGGAAGATTCAACAAGGTGGGGAAGCAAAGCAACAGAATAGGCAACATTTTGAGTTAAGAAACCAGGAGCTAATACAGTGGGATAGTTGTGGAAAACCTCCCTTGACCTAATGACAGGAGAGAGTATGAAATAGAGCAGGAGCATATTTGAAGAGCCAGGAGTGTTGAGCAAGCAGGGAGGCTGGCTGAGTAATGATAACTAAATCAATGATAAGAGAGGCAACATGCTAAAGGCCATTTCCATTGCACATGCCTGTAATGAACTCCTGACTTTTTTCTTTAATGAGAAACAATTGCAAGAGTCTGCAATTGTGAGGGGAAAAATTGTATGGAGGAGGAGGCTGCATGCAATTTTGCCTTTCAAAAATCACGCACACACCCCCTCCCTTCCTCACAGAAAAATACTCTCTTTCTCTCCTCTCTACTTAAGTCAGAAGTGGGCAACTTGCAGCTCTTGGCCTGATTTCAGTGGATCAGATCTCAAGTAAGATTAATCTGTTCCTTCCTGAGCCCATGTGAGAGAGAAGTATCAGAGACTGAAAAAGAAAAGGGAGTAGGCCTACCCATTGCCAGCATATGGTGCCTGACAGATTACCCCCAAGAGATTGTGATCTTCAATGGGTGGGGGGGGGCAGGGGGGACTTCCCACCAGAGACAAGCTTGCACCCTCTTAGACTTCATGCTTATGAAAAGCAAATAGGGGAACATTGCATGTGCTGCATCTAGTTGGATCCCGTAAAGCATGGAACTGTGGTTTAAAAAGGTGGTGGAGGCACATACTTGAAGCAAGCATTCATGGTAGCCTCACACAGGGCCTCTAGATTGGAATGACTGTGCATTGATGGCAGGAAGGAAAAGGATGGGCAAGGGACATTTCGGCACTGTGTGACAAAGACTAGCTGGAAATAAAGTTCTTGAACCCCAAACCCTGAGAGACTTTCTGATAAATGGCTGGAAAAGTTAGGCACATGTGACTTTCTGCATCATTTCAGCTCTGTGTTGATGGCTGTGATTTTACCAGTCGTGTTTGGTAAAATTCTCTCAGCACTGGAATTAGTAATGTGTCGGGTTCTTTTGGTGTGTGCATCTGGAAATTCAAAGGGAGCAGAAAACTCTGAGGGAAGGCAGGGATTTGCTATTCAGAAATGGATTTAAAGTAACCAGCCAGAAAAATAAATAGTGGAGGAATCCCCATGCGTGTACTTACAGAAATCCCACTCCAGGCAGTCATTTCTGGATCATAGCAATGCCTCTAATTTGTCTTCTAATTTTAGAAAGTGACACACGACATGGACATGTGCTATGGGATGATGGGAAGCCTGTTCCGAAGTGGCTCCCGACAAACTCTCTTTGCCAGTCAGGTGATGCGCTATGCAGACCTCTATGCAGCTTCCTTCATCAACCTCCTGTATTACCCCTTCAGTTACCTCTTCAGAGCTGCCCATGTGTTGGTGAGTTCAAATAAATGGCACTGCATTTTATATATGGTATATGCACTTTTTAAATCTTCGGGGCCTAAAGACGACCTTCCCAACTAAAATTGCTATACATTTTATTGCTGTGGACAGCATTAGAGGGAGTCAAGAACTCTTAAAATTCAAGAATGTGGCAGTTGACATGGCATTTTTCATATTGCAAATGTCAATAAAACTGCTTAGTGACTGCAAAATAGGAACAGATGAGTGAAAGCAGTGGCCTTTCTGTAGTGGTTCTCATTTATAAATACTGGTATCAGAGGGAAACTTGGGGTTCTGTAATAAACTAGCTTTAAGGAACTTCAGTTCTTTTAAGTGATTCCATGTCCTTCCAAGCAATATGAATAATCAGTGTGTGCTCAGGTTGGGATTTCTTTAGGTTTGTGAGCATTTGTCAAAGTCTGTGTGGTTCATTTTCAAGGACCGTCTGAGGACATGGCACCACTGAGTTGAGTCAGTTGTGCAATGACCCATGCCCTCAGGTGGGCCCTCTGCCAACCTCTGACTAGCTTGTAGTCATCTGTGGAAGCACACCTATAAAGTGTGCAGTCTTAGTAGGGGTGCCAGACTGATTTGGGACACTCCCAGCATTTACTACGAGTGTACCTTGTATATGTTGAGAAGCTACAGACCAGCCTACAGTTTGCTAGAGAGGACAAGGGACTCACTCAGGGCCAGTGCCAAGGATAGTCAAGGTCAGGCATTTGTTAAGGGCCCACATCCACTCAAGGGCTCACTGACAAGAACAGCAATCTGGAACAGTTTCTCTTCACCATTGCAGTACGTTTGTTCACCTGCTGCTTGCCCCAACCCAGGCAGTGGTGATGAAGAGGAGCAATAGAAGCCCTTGCCTGATTCTTCAATGGCTGCATGCCTGTCATGCAGTTAAGTCATAAGAGTGATGAGAAAGAAGATGAGGAGCAATAGCAGTTTGTGAGACTGGTAGCTGTGAGCCTGTTGAGGCTGCTTGGACACCTGAAACCATCACTGGGTTTAATACCTAGTAAGTGAACACTGTATTTCTGGCTAGCTGATTAGATAGCAGTGGAATGTTCTTGGCAAACTCAAGAAAGGGGATATGAAGATAGTAACAGCAGAGTGGCCTCTTTTTGGATAGATCACTTCTTCGTGGTCTTGGTGCATCACACATATGGGCCCTGTGACTACATGGAGCTTTTTGTTGAGAATTTCCAGACCTGGGAAAGATTTAGTGGGATCTTCTCCCCCACCCTTGGCATTCAGTGTACAGGCAATTCCTGGGTTATACATGAGTTCCCTTCCTGAGAAAACGGAAATTCATCTTTAAGTTGAATTTGTAGGTACATATAATTACGTATGGGACTGCAGGTGGCACAGTGGTTTAAACCGCTGTGCTGCTGGGCTGGTTGATTGAAAGGTCGCCGGTTCGAATCTGCACAATGGGGTGAGTTCCCATTGCTTCGTCCCAGCTCCTGCCAACTTTGCAGTTCGAAAGCTTGCAAATGCAAGTAGATAAAAAGGTACCACTTTGGTAGGCAGGTAACAGCTTTCCATGCACTTTGGTGTTTAGTCACGCTAGCCACATGACCATGGAGACGTCTGCGGACAAAGGCTGGCTCCTTCGGCTAGGAAACGGAGATGAGCACCGCCCCCTAGAGTCAGGCATGACTGGACTTAATGTCAAGGGGAAACCTTTACCATTACTTTTATAATAATGTATAGTTGGTCCTCCACATTTACAGGGGTTGGGGTACAGACCCCCATGAAAGTGGGAAAACCGTGAATATCTCTAGGTGACTCCCACCCAAACTCATCAGTGTCTCCATTTTGCAGAAAGGAAATGCTGGAGAGATTTCCTTCTCCAGATGGGTGGGGCAGGAAGGCATGCTTTGGAGGCCTCCCTCTTCCCCCCTTTTGCTTCCTCTCTCTCTCTAGGGCAATGACAGTTTCCTCAGTGATTTCTAAAACATTAATAGGTTTGATGACAGCTTGTTCATAAGTATGGGTTGTTCCTAACTCTAGTGTTTGTAACTTGGGGACTGCCTGTATTAGGAGGGGTTCCTGCACCTTCCCTAAGTTCTTCGACCATCATTGTGGTACCTCAGGAAGTTTGTTACTTGTGATTCACAATGTCTTCTTACCACATTCTTCTTTTCCTAACAACTTAAACAATTCCCTTTTCTAATCCCTCTTTTCTCTACACCGCCCTTCTACAACTTTCTTTCTGAAATCTTTTCTTCTTCTTGCCCAATATGGCATTGAAGGCACCCTTCAGCAAATGTATCTACTGTGAGAGCACATTCTCCCCCTGCTGACAGCCACTCCCTGTATCTCTTCTGCCTGGGAGACGGCCTTGTTGCAGAATCCTGCCCTGACTGCCAGACCCATCACCAGGCAGGCCGACAGGGACAGGGCAGGCTGCCTAAGATCACAGCTGTGGTGCAACATGCTGCAGGCAGTGGATTCTATGGGGAAGGAGCACCCAGATACTTGAGAGGCCTCAGCTTGCCTCCAACTACGCCTGCCTCAGTTGGGGCCCTAACCATGGGCCAGTTAGCACTGCCAATGCCTGGAGGCTCACTGAAGGTCTCCAAGGCCAAGAAATTGGCAAAGAGGGCCGAAGCTGTAAGAAGTTGCTAAATCAAAGCACCACAAGCAGCATTCAAAGAGTATTCATGGTGATCCGACCTGGCAAGATCCGTTGGTACTGGATGTGCCTGTTTCTGACCATGTGTACTGAGACATGAACTAGTCTTGGCAACCTCAGAATTGGAAAGAGAGATCTGAGGCACATGCAGACTCATCCTCCTTCTACAGCCTCAGGGTTGCACTCTTACCAGACCTGATGGAAATGGCCCACAATGGAATAAAGCACCATAGAAACTGCTCTTACATTCCTCTCTCAAACTGGGACAGGTGCTTGGAGTGGTCCACCCCTCTGTTGTACTGAGGATAGTACAAGCCATGTGGGTACTCTCAGGATATAGATTCATTCTGTGATCCTTCCTTGGTACTGATAAGAGCTCCATCCCAAACCCTACTTCAGTGGACAGGAGCATTTCTTCAGAGACCTTACATTTCAGATGTCTTCACCACCACTGCCTAAAGCACTACTGCCAACTCCTTGGACTGCCACTGTCTCCACAATACAATACAAAACCACAACATTGATCATCAAGTTCTTCCCCTCTACTTTCCAGACTGCAACCTAGAGCTTCCCGTTTCTGGTCCAGAAGACTGCCTATCAATATAGCTTTGTCATGATTGCTGGTCCTGATTCTTTCATCTCTTGAAGCAGCTGTAGAAACTTTGGATCCAGCCTCTCCATCTGATGACCTAGAGCAGTGATGGTGAACCTTTTGGACACCAAGAGCCCAAACTACAACCCAAAACCCGGCCATGCGAAAGCTTGGACAAGTTGCAGCTAATGAGTCGGGGCTCGTGACGTCATCACCTGGCACCACCACTCCTGTCCAAGCATGTACATGGCCCCTAAGTGTGCTGTGATCCAGTGCTTGGCTGCTGGGGCGAAACTAGGGAGACTTGGCTCGCATGGCGACAGAGGGCTCTGCGTGCCGCTGTGGCACACATGCCATAGGTTCGCCACCACTAGCTGAACCCTACCCTGGCGCACTCCACTAATATAAGGCTAAAGTACCAGTGAAAAGAGGGCGATTTTCAAAAAGCCTTCCTTGAGTAGCTTTTTCTGCACAGCTCATCATTTCTGCCCTTTCCAGAAACATTCCAACCATCAAAATCATGCCAGGACACCTTGTTTTTGCAACCCTAACCCTCCCCTGGTGCATACTCCTAACTCTAACGTAGGGCTGAAGTTTAATTAAGAAGAGGGCAATTTTGAAAAAGCCCCTGAGTAGCTTTTTCTGCAGAGCTCATCTTTTCTGCCCTTTCTAGAAACATTCCAACCATCAAAATCATGCCAGGACACCTTGTTTTTGCAACCCTAACCCTACCCTCGTGCACACCCCTAACCCCAATATAGGGGTATAGTTCATTTGAAAATTGGGTGACTTTGAAAAAACTATCCTTGAGTAGCTTTTTCTGCACAGCTCATCATTTCTGACCATTCTAAACACATTCCACCCAGGAAACCTCGTTTTTCTAACCCTAACCCTACCCTGGGGCGCACCCTAACTGTAATATAGTGGCAAAGTTCAATTGAAAATAATGCAATTTTGAAAAAGCCTTGAGTAGCTTTTTCTGTACAGCTCATCATTTCTGCCCTTTCCAGAAACATTCCAACCATCAAAATCATGCCAGGACACCTTGTTTTTGTAACCCTAACCCTAGCCTGGTGCACACCCCTAACCCTAAGATAGGGTAAAATACCATTGAAAATAATGCGACTTTGAAAAAGCCTTCCTTGGGGTTGGGGTTCTTCTCAGGGAACCCCCCCCCCCCAAAGAAGTAATGGGGTGGCAACCAGAATGCCTTTTTCAGTAGTGGCGCATACACCTGGTGCCATTCCTGTTACTCTTTCAGTGCCAGGTGAAGACCTTTTTATTCTCTAAATATTTTAATGGTTAGTCTATGTGTTTTAGTGCCTGTTTGTTGCTCCATGGTTGTTGATTGATATATTAGTTGTTTTATAGTATTGTATGAATACATTCTTTATACTGTTTTATGAGTATTTTATGTATGGTATTTATGATTTTAATAAACCACCCAGAGAGCCTGTGGGACACGGGGGCAGTGTACGAATGAATAAATGGCTTGATACCAGCTCTTTCTCTGGGACAAAATTGGCTTCCTCTGTGACCATCTGCCAGAGGGCCAAAGACCGCTTGCCAGGGTGTTCCCAGTGGGAGCACCACACTTCTCCCCCCAACAGATTCATATGGCCAAGCACCAAGCAGACTGCAGAGCAAAGCAAGGATCAGAGTGGTGCCATAAAAGAGAGCTGCATGGCTGTGCTCTGGTGGTCTTTTGCAAGAGCCCTAATCCCAAATTAAGGACCTAGCATTTGACAGGGAGGGGATCTTTAATGCAAAGAACAATGAGCAGATGGTTTCAGGTGACTGCTTGAAGGGAATCAACCAGCAGCTGCTGTCAATGCTGTTACGTAAGTGATACTGACCCAATCACCCCCCTTATCATCTTGGGTGCAGACAGACCAGTGGTATTAACAGCAGCCTGCATCCCATCCTAGGTACAGGGATGCTCCCCCAAGATACTGACAAGGATGCAGGTGCTCTGATCCAGATGGATGCCGGGTGTGACTGTCTCCTTGGGCTAGCCCCCCATTCCCATATTCTGGCCCCTCTCCCTTCCTTCCTGCATGGGAAACAATAACGGTAGATGCCTATCTATTGTGGAACAGGGATATAAGATTGAGTTCAACACCTTTCCGTGTCTCAGTTCTGTAAGGAGTAATGTTCAGTCTACAGCCTTGATTGTGGAGACAGACTCACTGCCCTTGAAGGGACACTAGAAGCCAGGTCTAATTCAGTACCAAGTGGGATGGAGAGCTCTGACTGATTTTGAATATCTCAGAGACATCAAATCTTTCATCACACTAAATAAATTCCATATGATCACATTGTAGAATATTCTACCTTTACTGACTGAAGCAGATTGGTTTGCCTCTATAGATTATTTCAGCATCTACATAGAGGACACTTCCTATGTTTCCAAGTTGGAAGAGAAGCTTTTCATTTCCACAATTTACCTTTTGGACTGTCCAAAGCCCAATGATCTTCACAGAGTGCATGGCAGTAGTCTGTGCCCATTTGCACCTGCAAGGGATCTGGGTCTACCCCTACCTGAATGTTTGGCTGATTGTGGCAGCCTTTAAGCAGCTAAGCAAGTACAATACAGCTGTTGAATCTTTTAAACATGGATTTTAGCAACATCCAATAGCTGATTCTTCTTGGGAGGCAATTATTACATAGACAAATTGTATACGTGCTTCATGGAAATTAGCAAGTGGAAGGGAAACTGGAAAGTAACAAGTGGAAGCTGTGCTGTTTGGACAGCTACAAGAAATATTACAAAATCATTCACCACCTACAATGTAGTGAATTGAGAACCTTACAGTGCATTTGATATTAGAACAAGGTCCATGTTTGTTGAAGCCTATGCATAATGATTAGAAAGTGTTATGCATTTCAAACATATCCATGTGTATATATTTAAAAATTGGGAAAATATATGGGTGCCTTTGGACACACTGGAGACCCCATGTTAGCATTTGCATGTGCTGAGGCAGAAGCACCTTCTCAGAGCACTGACTGAAGTATACTTTATTTTGGCTCCATACAGATGCCACATGAGTCAACAGTGGAGCACACCCATGTGGATATCAATGAAACTGAGTCACCCATGGCCACCCGTAACCGCACTTCAGTGGACTTCAAAGATGCTGACAAACGACACCAGCTGACCCGGTCTGTTAGTGAAATTAAACCACCCAACCTCTTCCCTCAGACCCCCCAAGAAATCACACATTGCCATGATGAGGATGATGATGAAGAAGAGGAAGAGGAAGAGGAAGAGGAGGAAGAATAGAAATATTAATGCTTCTTTTTATCAAATATGGTTGCATCAATTATTGGCAGGAACAGATTCCCACTTCAGAGTCCTGGGGCATGGGGTTGGTGGGGTGACAACAGAATTAACACTAATTAGGACCCTTTTGTTGTTAGCAAGCATATACTTTGCAGAGCCATTCTAAAGGTAGAAGATTTTGCATTGGCTGAGGTAAGACCAGGTACAGATGCTTAGCTATGTTGGGCCACATGTAGAACATAGATGAGGGGGCTGCTTGTGTGGCGGTTGTTCTTACACATGCCTTTAATTAAACAGCCTCCCAGCAATGGTTTAGAATTGATATAGTGAGACAGACGGCCATAGATCTTGCTGCAATCACAGGGGCCTAGTGCTAGTTCTTCACAGTTGGTACTCTTGACACCTTTGGAGGGGCAAAGATGTATCCTAGTATTTCATACTGTAAACATGGAAATGGCACTACTTCCAGGGTTGCATCTACCCATCAAGCACAAATCTTTTTTCAATGGTTTAATCCTCTAATCTCATTCTAGTACAGTTTGGCTTCTGCTCTCTTTCTGTATTTGAGTTTTTTCGAAAGGCTATCCTGCCATCTCTCCTTGGAGTATCTGATAGCTAGTTTTCTATTGCTGAGATTCCAAAGCTTTTTATAATCTCTATCCTTGGCATGTTATGCATGTGTTCTAGGATCTTCTAAAACAGGTCCTTATGCCAGATGTTTGCTCTGTGCCCTGAATTTATCTCCATTAACAAAAGATTCCTTAGCAGATTATTTTTCCTGTATTTAATGAGGTAAGAAAAGAAGGGGCTTGTAGTTTTTGGCATGTGAGGAAACACACGTTAGAGCATCCCAGAAAGATGAAAACTACAGCATCTGGAGGGGAAAGTTTTGTTTGCACCACCTTTCCTAGTCTTACTGTTGTTGGTAACACTTTGGACTCTGTTTTGGAGCAACCTGTAAGATTCTATAGTTCCATTTCCAGCCACTCCAGTCTCTCATACATAGTACATATGACTGCATGGTCCTGGTACCTAAACAAAGAGGAAGAAGTTGCCTTCAGCAGCATGACCTTATTGAGGACATTGTTTTACCTCCATTCCAAGAGTGAGAATAATTGAAGGTCTGCTCCATCTTATTTGTAAATGGCTTTAGCAGCCTGGCATGTCGAACAGTTCATGAGTTCAAGCCGTTACATTTCAAGCACATTTTCCTCCGAATTATCCTGCAATGCAGGGCAGGCTTATTTTCTCCTTCAGGTTAACAGGCAGTATATATTGCGTCCTGGGGTGCAGCACATCCCTTACTGTATTCCCTTACCGTACTGTGCCATTTGAGTATAGAAGACAGAACAGAGGCCCTATTTTAAAGTATTAGACCTTTTATTTTGCATCACTTGATTGTAATTAATGTTATTCCATTATTAAAATACATCAAACTGCAGATACGCAGGACAAGCTGGTGCTGCTCTGATGGATCTACAAATAAATCATGAGGTTTCATAATCTGTTCTGATGTGTGTCTAAAAGGTGGGGTGAGGAGAAAGTGATTATCAATGCCATACTGCTTGGTTAATAACAGGCTTGTGAACACACTGAAAGGCTGTAATGTGAATAAAATATGCTTAGCATTTTATTACATGGTAAATGGGTATGAACAGACATACTTATTTGGGAAATGTAAAGAGGTACTGTAGTAACTTCTAGTCCCTGTTATAGACTTCTCTTCTGTCCATAGCCCTTCAAGTTAGGCCTTGGTATTGACTGGCTATGGCATTGAGTGGGATAACTGTAAGGCAGCAAAAGCTATATATTACTACTATAAAAATTGAAATTGAGAGGTACCATGCCAAAAAATTAGTATTGTTAGTCTCCCGCAGCCCAGCCTTACAAATCCTATGCCTGCCCACTCCAAGCACACCTACATGCAGGTTTCCTGTTTCCCTCTAGTAGTTGGTTGCCCTCAAAAAAAAAAAAAAAAAAAAACTGGTCTTCTCAGCAGTGAACAGAACCAAGGCAGCCCATGTGTTGTAGCCACATTGTTTTAGACTGGAAGTCTGGAGTTTACTTCTAGCTGTTCTACTAACAAGTTTATACAGTTCAGTGACAGTTTCTGAAAGGATAGTGAATTACAACAGCTTAGATAAACATTACCAGTTCTTACACTTTAAGTAACAGGAAGGGAGGTGAGATTGGAAAGGGGCAAAATTACAGGGAGTGGATTGTGTTTACTAGCTGCTGGAGACAAGAAGCATGCTGAAAAGCAAGTTCAAAAAATTCAGCTGTTTTTCTGATCTTTTATGTAGTTGTCTTTTAGTCTTGATTCTTTCAAGGGCCTCAGAGCAACATCATTGACTTTGAAGAGCTGGAGCTATTCAGCAGCATAGAAGCATAAGAAAATGCATGTCAGTTTCTAATTTCATTTTTAAGAGAAGCTTAGAAACAGAATGAATTGAAAGAGCTGCTGCTTTTGAGTATAGCCAACACATTTTCCTCTTCCTATAGCCACAGAAAATAGAACTCAAAAACTACATGCAAACATTCTGACAGCCAGTTTCTCAGATTCAAACCCCCTATCAGGCAGCCTAGCATACAATACAAGTGGTTGTAAGGGTAAAAGGCAAAATAAAGTTCTGTGCCACACCAAGGTCTATGGCGAAAGGGCAGAATACAAATTATAATTTCCATCAGGCAAAGTCCTACAGAGCTGCCAAACCCTTTGAGTTTATTTGCTCCTTGGATAGCACAAAATGCCTATTACTATATTCGAGTTCAATGTTTACTTGCCACACTTGTTGGCTGCTTTATGCCTTATTTCTGAGCAATATGAACATGCTGCTCCCAGCAGTTTCGTAGCCACTGCAACTATAAAACTAATCCCAATTGTAACCCTTTCTGATTTCATTCTTCCACACATCCCTCCCTCTACAGGTAGCAGGACATCCTTTGTTTCAGATTGATATAGCAGATTAAACCTTTGGTCCAGGGCTAGCATACAGTATCTCACCAACATGGACATGTTTCCCATATTCCCATGTGCTCTGAGATGTATATTCTGCTTCAGGAAAGCATATCAAGTGAGGCCTTGGCAAGTGTGTGTGTTGGCCTTGATAATACATCAGGCAGAAAATGCTTGCACCATTTATCCAAAGTTTATATATCAAGAAAAAGTTGGTGTATATCCATCAGGTCAGTGGGCCCTCTCCCCCCATGAAACCTAAATGACATGTTTTAAATGACATGGCAGCCAGAAAGGAGGTACTAGGAGCTTCATGAGCAGTAGAGGCAGGTGTAGGAACAATGACAAACAGGAGGAAAGAACAGAAGTTTGGAGAGCCATTAGGCAGTATTTCATTTGATCCTCCATGTTACCTCTTGCTAGAATTTGTTTCCCAACAGAACCAATAAAACCACTGTGTCATTTTCTAAATGGTGGCTGTGGACCTTTTCCTGTTCCTTACAACTGGAAACTAATAGAACATTAGTAAGATTCTTAGTAACCATTCATACATTTAGAAACACCATCTGAATTCTGAGACACCAGCAGCAGCCAGAGAGGCCTTCTTCAATTTCCCAAACGGCTAATTAAAAAAAAAAAAAAATCAAAACTTCACACTCTTACAAATACAGATGAAGCAGGAGGTGGCGGAAAAAGCTACTTAAACTGGGAGGTTCAACAAGAAAAAATCATTTATCTAACAGAAATAAACGTTTTCAATAAAATTGCAAAAATATACAAATAAATCCGTCAAAATAAATAGAAGAAATTGAAAATCTGCAATACCACTGAGTAATTATACACTTCATTGGGATATTATTCAGCTTATGAAATGTACACATTTCATTTGTGCTTTTTTAGGCTTTACACAGACAATATGGAATACTGTTGGCAGAATGTTACAACTCTGAAAGAAATGCAATAATGTACAATATGATACAGTTTGGCAAAGAACTCTCAAAAGACAAAAGGTATAGAGGCTTTGGAATGCAGCAGTATATGGAAATAAATTTCTTGGCTTGAAGAGCCATGACATGGTGTAAGACTACCGGAAATGTGTGCAGCATAAGACTTCTTGAGAGAGGGGAAGGTAACTGCATAAGGTAACTCCAACTGCATTGGCTTAAGAAAGGACTACAAATTTCAGCTAATGGCCTTAGGCTAGTCTGTGATAAGCATAAGCAAATTCTAAGGACACCGAGGTAGAACATAATGCACTGTCTGCCCCTCTGTGAAGAAATTATGGTAAGAAAGAGCGCTAAGGTTTAAGCAATGAGGGTGTGCCATCTTTCCATATTTTGTCCATCACTAAAATCCTCCTCCTCAAGGTATTGTGTAGCACTTGATACTGGGAATGGATATGCAATGGTTCTCACCCCAGGCCACCTAGGTCAGTAAGGTTCTGTTCTTCAGATGGATGGGCTACCATTTTTAATAAAGTTGCCGAGAAAGTGACTTGAGAAATAGAATCATGCCAGGAGTCACATTAGACAAAACTAAGACAGATTGCAACTAGGAAATATGGCAGTAGTCACAAATCACACTCACATATCAAACAATCAGTACAAATAAGTGATTGAAGACATTTCTAATGCATAGCAAAGAAAAACAGAACCTGCTGGTAGCCTGCACAACCAGTCTCTTGCAGAGTATTAGACTCCAACTTGCCTCTCACTGTGGTATGCAATATTTGAGACATGGGCTCACAGCAGCAGTGGCACAAGTAGCAGCCTCTCTAGCATAAGTACTAAGCTTCATTAACAGGTAAAACTAAGCATTATTTGCAGTTGTTTACAATACTCTTGACGTTTCTTTTAATAGGATTCCAGTCTCAGATTGCTGTGGTTGAGAGCAAAAGAGTTTGCGGAAAGAGGTGGTGAACTCTGTATGTACCTCAAAGGCTGTCGCAAAGAAGGTCAAGATCTCTTTTTGCTGGTATCAGAGTGTAGGACATGGAATAATCAAGTCAAGTTGTGACAACCCAGGTTCAGGCTGGATACCAGAATAAACTTCCTCACTGTCGGAGCAATACAGCAGTGGAACCAGCTGCCTAGAGAAGTGGTGGGCTCTCCCACACTAGAGACAATCAGAAAAAAACTGGACAGCCATCTGAATGGGATGGTATAAATTGGTGTCCTGCAACAGCATGGGGTTGGACCCAATGACTTTCATGGCCCCTTCCAACTCTACTATGATCTCTAGAAAATATTTTTTTCTGTTCAAAACAAGGAAGGAAATATCTTGGCAGGGGTAGTTTTTAACAGGAAAAGGCCCACTGTTAAGTATACCCTCTGTCCTGGCAATCCCAAACTTTCAAGGCAATGTTATTTAAAAAGATAGACACCCAGAGTAACATTGCATAACATCTAATTTGGCCCTAAAAGGATAGCCTTCACTATTCCTGCACCAAAAATATCCCAATACAGTGCTCTTACATGGAATGACACACTATGCATACACATACACAAACACAACTATGCATCAAGCAAATCCAAACAAGTTGCACTTAATCGACCTCAAAATCATGCAAGCAGGGACAATAGCCAGAATACAGCATCTATGAGGCACCAGGACTTCCCAACGTGATGTTTACAAAATAATGACTTGCAATTTTACATACCTTCCATCATAGTCGGCAGGCATCAAGGCTCATTGCTATTAAGATAATCCAGTAAAAACATATTCTAGATCTGATTAGATGATTGTCTGAGCTTCAAGCATTTTGCTTAAAGGCAGTCCATTGGTGTTAGTGGAACTGCCACAGAGCTAGAGAGGCACTTGGAAAGAATTTCAGCTTCCAGCACTATGATTTGGTACAGAGGGTAAACATTTGGCATAGGTGGGACAGGGTTAGAGAATGAGGCTCTGGATGTGGACGTAATTGGCTTGAAAAGCAAAAATGTATAGCCTTTGTGGAGGGAGGGGGCGTTTTCTTTCTAGGGCCAGACCATCACCAATAAACATGCATTTTTACTGACCTGAAAAACAAGTGGCAAAAGTTCTAGCTGATCAGGATCCCATTTCAATGGAATTTTACACCAAAGCATAGAAAGAATGAACTTTAGCCTGCAAAACCTCCCCCGTTCCATTGATAATTTTAATCTGGGCTCTCCAAATGGCTGCTTGTGGCAAAGGCTGTCCATTGGAATGAATCTATCTGTGAGAGGAAACAAAAGTAGAGACTGTATAAGGCTTATCAGAAGAGAGAAAAATATGACCCACTGAAAATGAATGGTGGGAGGGAAGAGAGGCAGTTCAGTCTACCGGAATCAACTCTTCAACAGTTTCTAAAATTGTCCCTGTAGGCTGCCATGCTCTAAAGAACCCGGGATTCCAGCATCTGTGCATTTTCCTAGAACATCAAGCACATTTGTTTCAAACTATGGGGCAGGTACCATCTTAAATGGAGACATTTTCCCCTCTGTGGTCTTTGCATTCAGCTGATTTAGCTACTATTTCCAAAGGCCGCTGTACTTCAAAACAATACTTGAAGCTCATTAAGCTAATTTTATCCCAAGCCAGAGGGTGTGACCATCCTGACAACCAGACACCGGAGCTAAAAGACATTACAGTCTACGTAGTACAAGTATTTATGCTAGCTGTGGTTCCAGTTCAATATGAGACACACGACACTAAAAGGGTTATTTAGACCAAAAACAAAACACAGACCTTATCAATGAATGGAGTGTGCCCATTAGTCCTGAAGTGCCCCATTGGCAACCACCTAGCTCTAATACAGTTGTATTTATGTATATTCAGAAGTATAAACATGTTGTTATTCTCCATTGGGAGCCTTGGGCCAACCAGAATTTTTTTTTTTTATCATGAGTTTTATAGATAAAGATTTGTATGGGTGTGAGTCTATTAGAGAGACATGGCCAGTAAGAGCATCAGCCTCAGGTCTAAGCAGATGTTTTTTCCTCAGAAAACTGGCATCTGACATAATGGTACAATCATCACACTGCATTTTTATCCCTCCTTCCTCTAGCAAAGAACCCAAGGCAGCTTAGAAGGTTCTCCTCCACTCCATTCTATCCTTACAACAACAAACCTGTGAGGTAGGCAGGCTGGCTCAAAGTCACCCAGCGGGCTTCATGGCTGAGTGGGGACTAGAACCCAGAACTCCTGAGTTCCAGTCCAGCACACTTAACCACTACACCACACAGATTCCCTAATCACACATGGAGTCTCATTTGTGTTACAAACTAAACAAGTTATTTCTTTATACTAATATTTAGCTTATATCACACAGAAGTCATTATGTGTTTGTTCTTTGAAATTCTATGGCTATTTCTGCTCCATGTAGCAACCTGTTAATGCTCAGTGGCTTATCGTGTACTTTACAGTAATGTTTTACAGTAGCACCTGAAGGGCTGTTATGGGTATAATTCCAAAGAAGCCTCCAGATGTTACTTCTTGTGTGTGAAGGGAAGCCCAGGTATATCTCAATGCATCTTTCCAGGCAGTACAATTCATGTTCAGAGAGTTCATAAGAAGCACCAGAAGATAGCAAAACATGGTTACATGGCCATTTTGTCCCTGGATTCCACAATATATGTTCTATCAATTTGTAATTACTAATTCCTAAATCAATGAAAATGTCAGCAGATATGTTGTCTTCCATCACACAAGGACATAACCTTGCAGAACTTTCTTCCTTTCATGGAGCTATTAAAATATTAAGAGTTCCCTCTACTGGTAGGTTGTGATAATGTCATGCAATTACATTCATCTACGATAACCATTTTTATGGATGTTGCTCATGAAAGTGCACTTAAAAAGAAACGTGGGTACAGGAAAGAGGGGAGACATGGCAATGTAATAATGAATAATGCCAATGCAATTAAGAGCCAACTTGAAGAAAGATGGGAACTTTCCACAGGGTGCCCTTCATCTTGTGCAATAAGCTCCTACTCAGATCGTGGCCATGACTCTGGGCATTTTCCCAGTAATTCTGGAGATAATCTCTGGATTCATGCCATTAAAACATATAAAATAATTTGGCACATTAATTTGCCATGAAGACATGACTTTTCAGCTTTCATATGCTCTAGGTATGCTTCGTTGGTTAATGCTTACACACATCCTAATGTTCTGAACTTTTTCAGCAGGGCAGCTAGACAGTCAGATGAGATCAATGCCTCTCTGAAAGTCCTATGCAGCATATGATGGTAAACCTAGAGAGGAAAATAATGCAGAAGCTAACTACTTCCCACCTCCAAATGCAGGGGATTTGTATTTATTTTAGGCCACTGAAAACACCAGTCAGCACGAATTCTCTTTTGCTTTGCAAGAGCTCAGCAACACAGTGCATTAAAAGAAGCATAAGGTCTCTGATTATTCAAAGCCATTCACATCAACAGGAACAAAATTAATTCAAAATTAGGATTTTGGATGATTATTGTCAAGACCCCACTTCAAAGAGAACATTTGCACCAAAAAAGTTTCCAAATCTACAGTATAAAATAAAGGCTGAATGGCTACTACTGGCTACCCAATTCCTGTGTGCAAAACAAGAAGAACAGAAGGAGTGAAAGCAGCAAGAGAAACTGAGGAAAGATGCCAATTCCAGTAACTCAGCTCTTTATTAAGATTTGGAGACTTTGTTCCTAAAGTTTCCAATATCAGAACAACACTAAGTCTTACCTTGCATTCTGTTCCTTTGTGGTATTTAGGCAGGAAGGACTCTAAAGATCACTTTCTGAAGAATAAAAAATCATTTTTTTATCTCGAATGCATTTCTATCTATCTATGTCCTTGCGAAATGGTTGGTCTAGATATAATATAAAATAGGAAGTACAGTTCCCAGAGACATAGCTAAATTTAGGAAAATTTTGGTGGGTATGAATTTTTCTTATTGCTATTTGGTACACATGTTTGCTAATTCAAGGTCTAGAGCACTACTGAATAGGGAGAAAATCATTCATCAGAAGGCAGAAAGCTGCTATATAGGTGATGGCACCAAGGGACATCGAGGAACCATTTTCCATAGTGCTCATTATATGAATTGAGAAAACCAGCCCATTGTCTGGCATGGGCTGATGTCTTTATTTAATGATGTTCTTGGAACTCATTTGTTTTGAACCAAAAAGCATTCAGAGTGAGAGGGTCACCCTCCAAAGCCTAAGCTATGGAAGAATACCTTTAGCCTGCAAACTTTGTATGAACTCTTCAGAACCAGATTCACAGAAACTATGAATTGGAAATAAGCACTCAAATCCTGCAAGAAAACTCAACAAAAACTACTCATGATTGGTAAAGATCATTATTTGGAGCACCATCACTTCATCTGAAGAATTCAGCATGTGTTATGTAGCACATTTTTGGAAGAAAGAGATATTGCTGCCAGTAATACAGGATCATGGCCAGTTAAGAATCTCCTCCTTTCTTATAAGCATGCGTCACTTCCCATCTATTATAAAATGTCCAGTAAAAATGATGACATCATTTCAACAGCATCTTTACATTCCACAATTTAGCAGAAACTATACAATTGTGCAGCCTGTAAGTCTCAAAGGCCTAGTTGCAGTTTCTTAAACTGCTAACAGTTCTGGAAAAGGCTGTCAAATAAAACAGGATGCTTTAAAACAAAAGGAACATTCTTGTATTTTTCAAACAACACAACACTCTTATGCTACAAAATGACAAAGACCATATTTTCCAGTCACAGTGACAAGTGGAACCGAGTTGCCTCTCCATGAGGTTATAAAGGACTGGTAAGCTTCAAGAGAACTGAAATATCAACTTCTTCCTTCCTCCTATATGGGCATCCATGAAAGAAAGCAGTGCTTTTTCATAGATCAAACTGCTGAATAGTATCCACTGAAACATAAATACATTTTATTTAGGCACACAAGGAGTTGTTGGGAATGGGGAGGATTTACTTTTCCCAAACACATTTGCTTAAACAGAACAATGGAGAATTACATCCCAGCCTGCACTAATCTGTTTGAACACCTTGGTAATGGAATGTGAGGCATACTACCAATGAGGATTCTGGCAAAGCATAAAAAGAGAAAGGTGTGTGTGGGTGGGGAGTTAGGTTTTACTGTAGGTAATAAGGTCTGGAAGTAGGTAATTACCTATTACTGTAGGTAATAAGGTCTGGAGGCCCCTTTATCTATAAATTTAAACTGTTTCTCACAACTGTACTTCTTATAAGGGGTACAAACAACCCAGAGTCACAAATGCTGTGAAGTGAAGGTTCTCAAAATCATAATTCGTAGAACAGTCCCCCAAATACTCCCAAAGTAAATGTCAGCCTCCTGAGATGTGGGAGCTGAGAATATCCTGAAGGCCTTTCTGGTCCATTTTTCATGCCCAAATGGCTGTCTCATAGACCCCAATAAAAAACTGGAGGTCAAAAAGATGACCCCTGTAAGTGAAAATTTACAGAACAGAAATGTTTTATATCATTGTTGAGACACGCACACCATCAAATACAGGTTGAGTTTATCCTGAAAGCCTCTTGCAAAATGTAAAAGAGGGCGTAGGAGTTCAGCATCCACAGCAACATGCATTCTGTAGGAAGAGAGCCTTTGGCTGATAGCATAGCAGCATCTTTAAACAAAAGGTTTGAAGTGACTAGTGGTCTGATATATCTTACATTTCATCGTGATTGCATTTAGGCAATCCTTACCCAAAGTAATGGGAAGGTGCACTATGGTGGTACATCAGACTCTGAAAATATAAACAAGTTAGGTATGCACTCAGCACAGTATAGATGGCAAGGAATACCAGAATAAATTTACTCCTCCAGAATAAATAAAAACGCTATGTAAAATAATCTGGGAAAAACACTGCCTCTGAAAACACTTCCATGTGGCATAGACCAGATTTTCTGATACTCATAAAAATATCAATGCTTACAAGGAAAATGTACATGCACAATCCCAAATACCTCCTTCCCTAGAGATTAGATGAAGGGAGAAAAGAGCTTTTTCCCCATTCTCCCAAGAGAGATGTCAGAGGTTCTTAAATTTCTTTTGTTATTTGTTCTTCACAAAAGAAACCAATTTGCCATTTCAACAAGTTGGAAACAAAACAGCTGGGGAAAGCTGGGAACATTGGGGAAAATTCACACAGTACAACAGAACTTAGCTGGGAAGGCCCTGCAAAATTTAAAACTGCAAAATACTTCTTTAAAAAATGATCTCTCTTGAAAAAATAAACCACAGATGTTGGTTTAAATTTTTTTCTGTACACATTTAGAAGGATCATCAGTACAGCTGGAAAAATAAACATGATTCTGCTCCACTAGGAAAAAAATTGCCATTTACCCCAGAAGGGTTGCTCATCATTCCCAAGCTTTGCTTAGGTGTTTGCTGCTTCTTATTTTTTTCCTGTGTCCATCTTTCAATCTCTGAGCTCCAATTTCTTTCCATTTGTTTTCTGCTCCCAGAATGGACATAAAGTCTTTGGTCTCAGAGCACTGGGTGCAGCACAGCTTAATAAGCACATACTAATGGCGTTCACAGTCTGGTAGAGGTAAGGAGGTGGGAGGAGACCTTGTCCTGAAGAACAGGGGGAAGGCAGGAGAACAGGGTGATGCTGTGCGTCAGCTCCTAGATGGCGCCTTCACTGTGCATACTGTGGTTGGACTTGTTGTGGGTTACACAGTTCTGTTCATTCAGCAGATTTGCCATCTCATCTGGCAAACCATCATGCAATTCCGTAAGAGTCAGTTCTATTTTAGTAGTTTCACTGTCCGAGGACTGAGGTGTTTTATCCATCCGGGATGCCATGAGGGCATTTTGGTATTGCTGTCTGGAGATCTATGCCATAAACACGAAATGATACAAAAAGAGAAGTGCATAATTAACATTTTATTTCCCATTGTTGGGATCATGCGAGCTGGCTGTGACCATCTCTCCTTCTCACAAATGATGGATGTTCAGAAATGTGCAGATCCATATGTTCTCCACACCCTACAGTACAATTTAGGTTTGTTTTCAGCTATACTAAGAAGGGTGTTCTAAGGAGAAACACTATCAAGTCATTTAAGATTTCAGTTGCATAACTCTACAGCCTGTGACTTTATTTAAAAGGTTTAAGAGATGCCTGTGGGAAATGCCCCTGTGCCTGATAGTTGTTCAGGCACGACAGGGGGCTGTGACCCTCCTCTTCCACACCCAGTCCTCCCACAGGATGCCAGGAGATTCTGAGGAGAACCGAAGGAAGCAGGATGACCGCAAGCTCCCACCTGACACCAGCAGAGTGTGGTTCCTAATGCTGCTCTCCTAGCACTCGCAGAAGCACTGGCAGGGAACCTGGTCTGGGGAACAAGAGTGGCTGCCTTGCACCGGGATAAAAAACCCAGTACGAGGTGACCCACTGCTCAGCTGAGAGGGAGGCAAGCACAGCAGCTCATCCCACCCACTGCTGCTGCAATGCCAGCAGGCAGGATCAAGCAACGCAGCCTTGCTTCATTGCAAGGATTGTGGTCTAAGCGACTGGTGATTCTGCTGCATGCTTTGTCCCCAGGACCTGAATGTCGGATTCTTCATAAACAATCCTGTTCAACCTCTGGCCTCAGCAGAAGCCCAGGGGAAACTGATGACAGCTGTGCTTTCGCAGCTATCATCAGCTACAGCCCCTTAGCAAGAGTGGCAAGGCTTTTTTTGCTGCTCTGGCCAAGCGGCTCTTTTAATTTTTTTGGCTTGAATGTTGTTTAGTGAACTATCCCAGTTCACATGAAGTGTTAAGCCAGCATGAGTACTTAAACCCTACAGCAAGCAATGGGTATCTGAGTGGTTTATAAACCACCTCACAGGAACAGTGCTGAGTTCAGATGACACAAAAACCCACCATGGTTTATAAGCCACAATGGGTTATTGAGTCATCTGAACCTAGTCATTGATTGTGCCCATTTAGTACATTACGCCATTGTGATTTATAAGATGTGGTGCTTTAATGTGTTACCTTAACCCAGCATTCCTCCTGCAGGGTGGCTTATAAACAAATTAACCATGGTTCATTGTAGGGTTTAATAAACTCACCAGGACTTAGTGTGTTGTTGAAATCCAGACAACAAAACGAAGCATGGTCTAGTCATAAGACCAGAGAGCCCATTGGGAAGAGTGGCAGAAAGGCTTGCTGTTCTAGCTGAGGGGCTGGCAGGTGACCACCTTTCTCGGGCACTGCAAAGTGCAAAAGCAGCACTTGGGGACATCTGGGAAAAGTTACTCCCACTTTCTTCCACTGCAGTGAGCCATTTAGTGCTGGCTGCAGCTTGACTTTAGGTCTGTTGATTTTTTTAAGTTTGCAAAACCTACAGTTAAAGGCAGCTTTCCCAATCCTGTTTTCAGGCATTCAAGAGGCAACCATTTCTCATCTGGGAAGGTTAGGGCAGCCCAGGGCCAAATGAAGAGGCCCCCACTAAAACTCAAGGATTTTGGTTCAAAGGGTGCTTTCCCCATACCCCATTTCAACACCCCCCCCCAAATAGTGGTGGGCTACAAAGTTGCAATTAAAATCAAACTACAATCAGCACTAGATGGATGCTGCAGCTCAGGGGTCATCTCAATGCTCCCACAGGAAGCCTGGGATACAGCAAGAAGACTGCTGGAAGAAAAGGAGGTCCATGCCCCACTATGCCTGATCATCTCTCAGGCATAGAGAATTTTTAGCACAGTCTATGTTTATAGTTCTCCAGGCATTTAATGTATTGTATGAACCTGGTCATTAAGAGTCGAACATTCATTTTCCAGCTGTGCAATTGCCACATAATGCTAATGGGAACGGAAGCACCCCCAGGTGTGAACTTGTAGGTGAAAGGTTACAGGTATAATTGAAGAACAACACAAAGTATAAACATTCCTCCTACAAGTTGATTCTCCTTTACAACCCCCCTCCCATTTCATTACCTAAGCAACATAGTTTTAGACACAGCCATTTTTCAAAGAAAAATGTAGTTCCTACCTGGGAAAGGTAGATTAAGATACTACCTCCTAATTTAAAATAAACTAGATAGCTAAATAGCTCTAGCAGACCAAATAATTCCTTCCAAATTTAGGTGGTCTATTAAAGGAAAATCAGGACTATGAGTCTATCATGACTGGAGTCTATAGCACCCTACCTTCCAAGATTACAACTTGTGGATGGAAGACCCATTTCTTCTTTTCCTACCTTGACATACTGAATGTCTGAGATGGCTCTCACTGAGTAGTCTGGAACATATACTTGAACAAATGAGTTCAACTGGCTGTTGCTATTCCCTATTGTTGGTGTCACTGCATCAATACGATCCCCTTTGCTAAGAGAGTCTGAATGATTCAAGCCGCAAGAACGAGGTGGTGATTTGTTTTCAGCTGAAAAGAAAGAAAAATACAGAGGAACTTTAAATACAGTTCCAATTCTCAAGAACTACATTGGTTATGGGATAAACTGGATGGTTACTTGACTATAATCCAATAATATTCCATTCAAAACACAAATGATTATGCAGATTTTGACACTTTGGCTATGTTTTCCTACCAAAATGACTTGTTGCAGCTGTAATTCTACAGGGTACAACTTCAATAAAGATAAGAAGCATGAAAGTGGGATTTTGATAGTAAGTTCATATCTATTATAGGAAACTTAATTTCTAGATGGGCATTCCATCTAGAAATACCCCATATCCCTTTCCATAACCACACTTCTTTCCCCCAACCACTCAGCATCTGGTAGTTTCCCAGCTTTTGTGCAGTTTTCCCCATTCTAAATGATTGAATTACCTCTTCCAAGGCTTACTTGAAAGCTTCAAGTGAAATGTGCAAGTTGGCCCTGCCCCTGTTGTCATGAGCTCCAGTGACCCCTGGAATGCAACTTCTGAAGATTTCTCCAAAATAGAATTTGGCCCTCAGGGAGAAAGAGATACTGCACCCCTGCCTTAAAGTCTGCCTGGGATTTAAGAGCTTTTATAATACTATCTACTGTAACAGTACCAATTTACTGGCAGGAATCAAAGTGGTTGTGCCACTTGGCTAAAAGCAAGAATAAGTCAATGTAAGAGGAAGACATACAAACCTGATTCCAAATTAAATATTATTATTTAGTTTACAGATGCCCTAGTCTTTCACATTTACTGAAATGCCATAGTCATTTGCCAATCAAAAGCATACCCTCAAGATGCATAGCACAATGCATTTAATACCATTTGTTATTTTACTTTTGAGTGAAACCATCTTCTTCAATACATTTCCCATCACAAGTGTTTAAAATATGGGTAGGGACATAATTAGAAAATAGGCACAGGAGCACATTCTGTAATGAGATAGACTGATGCCTGGCAAAACTTCAATACTTTGCTGCATTGTACAAGCATGTTGGATATCTGAACATTCCCAGATTACAACAATGCTCAACTGAGACTCTTTTAAACTCTTTTCCCTATATTTTTGTTTAAATAACAAGATCAAAGAGTTACACCAAGCAGTTTATACATACCTTTGCTCACAGCAAATGTATTTGGGCATTGCAGTGCTGTCAGAAGCTGGAGGTATTCTACACAATATTTGAGCAACACATTTGTCACGACAAAATTCAAGCATTTGATGTCACTGCAGTCCCATTTTCACTTTTTCCCACAGGGCCCAATACAATATGGACTGTTTTAATAACAGTGCCTGTAGGGTAAACAATGTCATATGGAGCTCTGAACCAAGTAAGAATATCAAGAAGGGAACCTTAGACAGTGAGAAACCTAGCAGGAGCAGAGCAGTTTGAAAGCCTTCTATTGGGCAGTGTGATTTTGCTTAAGTATATGATGGCTCCATCTGTTAATTATACACATGGCTTTTAGAAGAGTAGCCATGTTAGTCTGCTTCACTATAAATTATGTGTTTGTCTTGTGGTATTTGAAAGAACAACCCAATTACTGTACCATTAAGGTCGTTATCAGATATACAAAGTATATATGAGAAAAAAGTAAAGAGTGGACCAAATAGTCTTGAAATGCACTTGTGAGCATTCTATATATAATGTAAAGATATGCAAGTACAATGGCCATTCAGAACAATGGGAACAGGAAATTACTGCAGACAATCCCTAAAATCTAATAGAAGAAACTGTGGGAAATCTAACATATAAAACCAAGGACCAGGCATGGCAAAAAAGCAAAGACCCTGCCCCACAAGCACCTCAGTTATCAACTTTGTCCCAATACCTATTGAGGTGACATTTACTATCACATGGCTTAAAAGTAGCCATAAGAAGGACATCTAAAATTCACAGTATAAGAAGGGAGTGCCTAAGGTGACTCCAGCATGAAATAAGTCAGTGTGGTGTTGTGGTTAAAGTATTAGGACTTGGGAGACTTAGCTTCATGTCCCCACTCACTGGGTAACTTTGGCCCAGTCACTGACTCAGTCTAAGCTACCCTGTAGAGTTTTGGGAGGATAAAAATGGATAGAACAATCATGTACATCATTTTGTGTCCCTTGGAGGAAAATGCAGGATATAAATGTAATCAACGAACAGAATTCATCAGTACAGTTCATTCAATTCAGTCAAGCCTCAATTAAGACAATGCCTTCTAATCTCAGTATTACAGCAATTTATGAATATGTGTTATCACCTATTGTGGCTGTTGCATAGGAACACTATATATTTAAGCCCTATATAGAAATACCAGACTTCTGTACTTGTGACCAATTACCCCATGGTTAGAAAGAGGGAGAAGGAGTATATATTCTGTGAAGCAGAGAGAGAGAATGAGAGAGAGAGAGAGAGCGAGAGCGAGAGCGCACGAGAGCACATAATCTGGATTTTGGGAAAGTTGATTTTAATAAACTCAGAACAATGATAAGTAAGGTCCTGTGGCAAGTGACCCTAAGGGAAAAAAAGGAGCCTAAGTTGAGTGGGAGGCTAGCACGGGAAGCTGAAAGCATCAATAACAATTGTTTCAGGTATGTTCACACTAAAAGACAGAGAAAAGAAATGATGGTTGGCTATATAACTATACATTGAGCTAGCATGTTGAGTCCCCTTTGCTTAGCTGAAAAGGTGTGGGCCTGCAGCTGGACAGGTGACTACATGTGGAAGTACAGCAGAGGATTAGGCACCATGGCCTTAAAGGCCCTTTCCAACTCTTCTACTAGAATTCTCCATGAGGACAAATAGTTAACAGATGACAAAGTGCAAATCAAAGGGTCAGGACTGAAATTTGAGATTAATAAACAAATGATCAAGTTGCACCTCATTTCTTTGCATAAGTTCAAATCTTCAGGGCTTGATGAGCAGCATCCTAGAATAATAAAGAAACTGGCAGGAGAACTCTCAGAACTACTCCCTATAATCTTTGAGAAATCATGGAAGACAGGTGAAGTGCCAGATCACTTGAAGGAGGGATAATGTTGACCATATCTTCAAAAAGCGTAAAAAGGAGGATCCTGGGAACTACAGCTCAATTAGTCTGTGAAAATTCTGGAGCAGATAATAAAGAAGCACCTAGAAGGCAATGGAGCAATTACTACAAGCTAGCATGGATTTCTCAAGAACAAATCTTGTCAGACTAATCTGATCTCACTTTTTTTAATCAGGTAACCTCGCTTGCAGATGTGGAAATGCTGTGGACATAATATATATTGACTTCAACAAAGCTTTTGATGAAGTGTCCTATGACATTCTGATCAGGAAGCTAGCTCAATGTAGGTTAGATGGAACAGCTAGCAGGTGGATCCATAGTTGGCTACAGACTTGGACTCAGAAAGTGCTGATAAGATTGAACTCTACAAGTACTTGAAAGGCTGTCTCAAAGAAGAAGGCCAGGATCTCTTCTCAATCATCCCAGAGTGCAGGACATGGGGAATCATTGGGATGGCGGCCAGTGACAAGCGGGGTCCCCCAGGGCTCTGTCCTGGAGCCGATCCTGTTTAATCTTTTAAAAAATGACATGGAAAAAGGGATGAACACTCTGCTGATCAAATTCGCAGATGATACTATAACTGGGGCAGTGGCCACAACTGAGAACGCACTCCAGTTCCAAAAGGATCTGGACAGACTATGAAAGTGGGCAGGAGACAACAGGATGGCATTCAATGTGGATAAGTGCAAGGTCTTGCACTTGGGGCATAGGAATAGGTGTCATAAGTACAGGTTAGGGGACAAGTGGCTGGAGAGCAGCACTTGTGAAATGGACCTTGGGGTACTGGATGACTGCAGGCTAAACATGAGTCAGCAGTGTGATGCGGTAGTTAAGAAGGCGAACGCCACCCTTGGTTGCATAGCCAGAAGCATGAAAGAGGTATTACCACCACTCTATAGGACTCTGGTGCGCCCGCAACTGGAGTATTGTGCTCAGTTTTGGGCCCCTCATTACAGGAAGGGTATGGCCAGGTTAGAGTCAGTGCAGCGTAGGGCCACAAGGTTGGTGGATGGTTTGCAGGGGATGCCATATGAGGCGAGACTGAGGGAACTGGGTCTCTTCAGCCTGGAGAAAAGGAGACTCAGAGGGGATATGTTGGCGACATACAGGTATGTGAGGGTATGTCACACAGAGATGGGTAGAGACCTGTTCTCCCCTGCAGAGGAAGGCAGGATGCGCTCCAACGAAGCAAAGCTCAGGGAACCAAGGTGCCAGGAAGTACTTCCTGAGAGTTAGGACCCCGAAAGTACGGAATGAGCTTCCATGGGAGGTGGTTGAGGCCCCATTGGTGAGAGTGTTCAGATAGGCTGGACATGCATATGGTGGGCATGTCATGAGCGGAGCCAGCTGGAGCCAGGGGTCAGACTAGATGGCCCGGGAGACCCCTTATGACTTGTTCTGTTTCTATGAATAATGGGCGCAGATTACAGGAAGTCAGATTCTGACTAGATACCAAGAAACATTTTCTAACTGTTAGAGCAGTACGGCAATCAACCAATGAGCTAGGGAGGTCATGGACTCTCCTACACTTAGAGACATTGACGAGGCAGTTGGACAGCCATCTATCAGGAATGCTTTAACTTGGAGTCCTGCACTGAGCAGGGGGTTGGACTCAATGGTGTTATAGGTGCCTTCCAACTCTACCACCTTTTAATCTAATGAAAGCTTCTGCCACAATAAATGTTTTACTCTATAAGAGGGGTACATAACCTTTTCCGCCCCAAGAGTTGCTGCATGTGATGCTGGCCTGGAGCTTACACTACAAGCACACACATACTTCAGCAACTTGGACAGAGGTCATTCTTTCTTTGCTGTGAGTGCTGATGTGGAAGAATGATCTGTATGTGGGTGAGGGGTGGATAGTTTGGGCAACAAGGAAACTCATTAGAGGGACTTTAGTGCAGGGGGATCACTTGCCAAAGATAAAAGATACGCTGTTTTATCTTTTTATGCTTGCTTTAA